GTAGAAACCGCTTCTATTTTGAATTGTTATTAAATTGGTTTATTCAATAGTATCAAAGACAATATGGTAGGTAATATCAACTATTTTCAGAAGTTCTGCTGGTAGCAGAAAGCAGCTGGTTGTCCTATATGGAATTTCATTATTCTGTATAAATTAATTTAATAAATTTCTTCACAAAAAATACCAAAACTAAACATTAAAATAACAAACTACAACTTATACATTTAATTCTTAAATATATTACGAAAAAATAACTTCTTATATATGTTCTAAAGTTTATGGGCTTTATCCTTAAATAGTAAGGTATCCTATCCCTGATTGTTAATATTATTACTCTATCAATATACCAGTAAACGATATATACGTACATCAATAAATTGCAGATATGACACATCACTATTATAACTCGCTTATTTATTTCAGTAAGTGCTTACATCTACTTTACATATGGTTCAAATGTCTTAACGGAAGATGTCAATGTACATAGAAAATGATGTGTTTTTATTTCTCCTTGATAGTTATGGCGGATCAAATTTCATAGTTTGTTCTAAAGCATGATAAAAGAACCACATCTTGGACTTATCAAAGCTTTCTTTACGATAAAAGTATGAAATCAAAACAACACTGTATGATACATCAACTCTAACAACAATGATTTTGTCATTTCTCCGATGATACACTGAATAAACAAGGAAATTGTTATTCCTTGGAAGATTCAAAAATTAAACAATGATACTTCAATAGTGATTCAGCATTATACATAAGAATTTACATTAATCAGATAAATAACACATTTTGTTCTACAATGAGCACTAAATTAAACAGGTATGTTCATAAAGATAATACTTGAATATCGTATAACTTAAATATCATGAAATGTGTACAAAAATTGCACAAACTTAAACATGTTAAATTACAGAAAATGCATTATGATTTCATTATAATCCTTGAATTTACTATTCAGGTTTTTTCTGCTCAAATTTAGGTCATAAATATACATACATGTTTAATTAAAGCATCGATATCAATTTATATTTGTCTTTTCTTTAGTATTTCTCTACTGTAGTTCACTCTGTTCGGTGTTCAAACTGACAATACTGAGAACTTGTGTTAAATCTAGCTGAAATTGTCACCATAAAGGATGTCAAATTAGTCCTTTTTTGTGATCAGTTCTATGCTGGTTCTTCAAAATAGACAGCACCGACTACAGATTTTTACATTTTAAAATTTTAGGCAATGGTTGCAGTATTTGTACTTTGTAAAAAAAAATTGTATAAAACAAAGTTTTAACAATATTTGTAAAGAACACATAGATAACCATTGATGACAGAAAAAAACCAAATGATTTAATGTTGATACTTCCAGAAGATTTTTATCATAAATCGAAATAATTTTTCATACCATTAATACTAGATCACGCTTATGTCCAGAAATAGTATGATACACTGATATCATTACTTGATTCAAAGTTAACAATTTTTTATGCTAAATTATTTAGCATTAGTAAATATTTTCATCACTATTGCATCTTCTACAAACCACTCTTATTATAAGATTAAAAAATTCCTCTGAAAAATACAATGCCTAAGTCAACTTCAGATATATTTATCGAAATAAAACGTTTTGTTCAACTTAGTTGTTCATACCAAATTTGAAGTATATTGAATAACAATTACACTTAGAAGATGAAACTTGAAAAAATAATTCTTTTCATCATTCTACAGTATCAAATATTATTCACCAAATAAAACGTTTTAATGGATGTTTCGTCATATCCCTACAAAAATTCCTCATTTTATTTCTTTTTTCTTTCGGCTCAATCATCGATATAAAAATGTGATTAAACAAAATTCCATTAAACGAAAAATTCAAAAAGTGTTAAGCCAACTTTAAAAGGACACAAAATCATAAAAAATGAATCGAAAAGGATAATTTTGATTGACGAAACAAACTGAAAAGATTCAATTTAGTCATAAATCAAATTTTACATCGCATCATTTTTGTAGAAACAGTTTGTAGCGGGCCAGTCGGCGACAGTCGGGCTTTCTGCCTGGGGACGGATGATCCGATTAGCTATATAACACTACAGGTCGTCAGCGCACCCGTTCAATTTTCTGCCTATTATCAGGCCTTAATTCGATGATTATTTTTTTCCATAAGAATAAGATTTATTGATGTAGAATGCAGATAATGTAGTCTTTTAAATGTTTGATAACGGAGATGGATGAAGGACGGGGTTCTTTATCCTCATGTTTATTCATAAGATTCCTCTTTCCAGGATTTTACTTCTATTTTGTTGCTGTTTTTTAAATATTTGTAATAATAACGAAAGAAAAAAAATAGATACTTCCATTGGAATTTCTGATTCTAGATAATGAAAAATTGAAATATGATGTGTAAATTGCATATAAAAACTACAACTTTTTTTTCTAATAGCACTCTGAATTGCAGGCAAGAGGAATCTTTTTAACTTTATTAGCCGATTAACTGATTATTAAAGAGAAATGACTTTTTAAACCAAATCTTTTTCCCGTGTCTCTGATAAATATTAAATTCTTATGCCACAATAACCTAAAATTTTTAACCGTCAGTTTAAAAAAAATCTCATTAATGAATTTTTGTGTTCATTCATTTAAAATTTGTAGACGACATTTTCAAAACGCGGTTGTAAAATTATTAGCAAAATAAGAACACGAAATCTGATTATACGTATGTGTTTAAGCACACGTATTTACTACAGAGTGGGTGTGTCATTTCATTGGAACATAAAATTTCAAAATAATGAGCTGCGCAATATCATATCATGTTTCAAGTTTTTTTTTCCAAACTTAAAAAAAGATAATGAAAATTAAACACGACTCGAACTTGATGACCACACATGATACCTAACACCTTATTCAATTATCTAGAATCAAACTTTTTAAAAAATATTAACTTAAAATATTGAATTCTTTACAAAAAAACATAAAGCTATTGTGACATGACGACACAGATACCAGTCACGAAATACAACCTATAAGGGGCTCATGTTGAATTTTTAGTAATTTAATTCCTTGGGGGTATAAAGAAATTTTTAATTGAAATCCCCACGTGAGTCTACGTATATCTGAGGATGGCATCGACAGAGTAAAAATTATATCCAGTCAGGAAAATCAAAACTTTCTGACAGTTCCAAGGATAGAAATCTTTTATTTTTAATTGGTAACGCAATTCCTGCAGATAATTATTTTCAAATCAAATGGGGAAAGGGGTTGCTAATTAAAAGTGTACTTCAGTATAATTTTAAAGATGTCATGCATTTGATAGTTTAATTCTTTATTTAATGATATCTTCTTACTGAAAGCAATAATCGTTTTTTTTTCTTTTTACAATTTCCTTCATGTCATTTATTTCTTTGCAATAAAATCGCATCCGATAACGACCATTCTTTTCTTCTAGATAATTTTCATTGGCTATGTTGATTAATTTCGTCTTTTTAGTTTTCTGAGGGAAAAACAACCATATATAGTTAAAGATATCTTTAAAGACCACTATGATATTTAAAAACAGGTAAAGTTGTAAGAGTTTACTAAGCAGATCGGCCGAGTTCCAAAAGGTAAATCACATTTGGTTAAAAAAAATCTTTATCATAATTTGTCATCTTTATTTAACATAAGTATATCTCCTTTCCACAAATACATTAGTTGTCATGATAAACGTTCCCATTCATATCTTCAGACAGGGTTGTGTTTATAATATAAATTAACCTGTTTAATAAAAACCCATTTTCGGCGCCCTTGTTTTCTGATCTGCTAATAGGCAAAGTAAATTGAGAATACTTACAGAAGGGAATGTTCATTGTAAATTTTAATGTACTTAGTTTCTCTCGATATAACCCTATCTCCGAACTAAACAAACAAAAGCTTGTATATACAATATTTTAACTTGGGTTTGCAAACATGATTTGGTTCTGGTAAAGAAAACACACACGCATGGTCTGTGTAGGGAAACTTGCATTTCTTAAGTATAATACCTGTAATGTAAACAAACATAAATTGCTGGCGAGAATCTTTTACACAGGTAGGTCGGCTTCCTGGCATTAGGGACCTCCCACTAACAAATGATGGTCCAATCTCTGGTCCCCTTTTGTGCCAAATAGGTTGAATTGACAGTCCGGGGGTTTGTGTGTCTTTAGGCTGGCAGTAAAATGAACATGGCTTAGTTTGTTTATGAGGGCTAATAATGATGTGCTTTTATTAACATGGACAGTTCCGTCAAAGAAGACCCATAGTTTACAAAGACTACAAACTTAAAAAGACAATAGTCCTCTAAGACTATGGATGCATTCAGTTGTTAAGTATGCCTTTCGTTCTTGAATTAGCATTTGATTTAACGTCCATAAAACGCATATGATTAACATTTTTTATGTTGCAGTTGTATAATATTGGCGTTTCATATATCTAGGTGTCAGCTATACATAATCAACAGAGGTATATTATTCCGGATGTATTCCAAAAGCTGTATAAAGAAATGCTTAATCCCACAGAAAACGGTAAGTGATGACACTGACGATAACTCATCAGAAGACGATGCTGGATTAGATGTCATTTTCTAATCATCGATTTGATCAAGGAAATTTTCAGCTAACTTCTAAAAGAAGCCCTTTTATTTTTTTTTCTTTTGGAGCGCATTCATCATATTCCTTTGCATTTACCTGCCAAATGTGACTTTATGCCAAGTGTGACTGTATTTATTTATCGTTTAAGGCCCCAGTAAATTTCATTTATCCTGTTATATCTGATATTCGACACATTCCTAGCGTGTCAACTTTGTGGAATAAAAAGAGAAACTAATTTATTTTTTAGTCTATTTATCTTAATCTGGAATATATATAGGGTCGTAAATCGATCAAACTTAAGCAAAAAATTTTCATTTCATATATACGGTCCTAAAATCATAACGAACATAAAAATCGCGTAAATTCTTCAACACAGCAATATTTATTTTAGTGCGTCTTCACCTAGAGGAAAATCGTAAATTTTAAAATCGAAAAATAATTGCCTTTTTAGTATTTTTCAATCTAACTGTCATAAAATTTTTTGCATAACTCTTGTTGATGTCTAATTAATGTTGTACGATGGTAAATTGTGAAACATTTCTTTCCTACCTGCCGGGGTTAATGATTTTATCGCTGTTGCGACAATGGCTCAGATAGAGATCTCTTCCCACTCGGGTGCCCGACACTCGCTGTCTGAGAAAGTGTCGTAAGACGAAGATTTGGCGACATGAGAAAATAATCGGGAACGCAAAAAGAATACGGTGGATTAGCGGCGACCCCTCTTCTTGCGCGGGACACACATTGTGTAAAATACTTAATTAAAATATTTTACATGTGAACACATTATCATTTGAGATGATAATCTCAGATTCGTTCCTAGATAGGAATTGTCAAGTAAATTATGTTCTCGGCGAATTAAGGCCGATAATTCCTATCAGATGCTTAAAAAGATTATCAGAGAGAAAAAAAATGACAAATTAAACATCATAATTACTCTACAAGTATATCTGATGCCTTGTACTATTAGCGGACTATTTATGTGGTGTATGGACCCTATCGAGTTTCATATCTGTTTTGTGTTCTATTTTTCAGATTTGATTGCAGCCATGATTCTTGATCAGATCTAAGGATATCTGTGGGCAAGTCCATAAAACGCAGGAGCAATTTAGATTGGGATGTTATACCTGCTTGTCTTTAACGTGGATTGGATATAAATCTTCGAATGACTTACATAACGATTCTAACATATAGCAAGGCCTTCATGTCTTGTAGCGGTTATTGGTAAACCACTTAATTATGGTGTACAAGATAAGAACAGGACATTAATGAAAACTAATTACTATCATGTTCCTTAATGCGGACCAGAGTCATAGCACCCACTGACAAATTTTTGGAGGCGTGAACATTCAGGAAATTTATTTATCTAGGAGAAACAACCAACACAGAATCAGAGGAAACTTGGCGATTTATTTGGTTTTATCTAGTCCTATTTATCATATATTTAATTTCTATGAATTTATTTTCATGAAAGACATTCTCCAGAAACTTTCTAATTGATTCCCTTCCTCGAAGTTATCTTGTTAACTTATAAACTAAATTACGGGCCAGACACTCTAATAACTCTTATTGGAAACCTCTGGATTTTTATCTTCACAGATTCAAATGAGAGAAAATTTCACAAGACCGCGTCTGTGAACATTTGACTATTTTGTCTTTGCCAAAAAAGAAAAGAAATAACTCAAAAATTGGAATTTTAAGTTTGCATAATTTGATTGGCGACGCGTGCCTTGCGAAGAACGCGGGATGAAACAATACTATGAAAGGATTGACGCATTTGGACGCCTCAGCATGCCGTAAAATTTTCATAGGAGCACTCTTCATCCTTGTTTTTGCGAGCCATTCTGAGACCCAGTTAATAGGTAAGACTACAAACTTTAAAAATACTTTGAGTAATTAAATTTGATTAAAATCTGCTAGTATTCCTGTCTGGTGTAGAGGAATCGGTCTAACGTTCCTTTGACCTGGAATGGTATTTTATTGATCCTTTAATTAAGATGACAAGATTTGGAATTAACCAGTGCGGTTTTGTGATAATACGTGTTACCGTGTCAATAACAAAGACTAAAAAGATTAATCAGATAAACTGACATATATATCTATTATTATGATTTTAAATCGATACTAATAAGTGCAGAAATGCACAAAGCATGATTGCAATTGCTTTGGTTTAAGATAAACCAAGGTTATAATGTTAACGACATTGCGTTTTGTTTCGCTTTTATTTCATTTTTGACTTTGGCATTTACAACACCCCCGCTTGGCCTTTTAAATATCATATTTATGGTAATATATTTGATCTTCCTTGAACTTGTTAAGCAGATTTTATGATTTTCAGTTGTAAATCATGTTTATTTTTCATCCAAACCCCGATTTTGGCAGACCGTATTGAATATGAATTAGAGTTTTTATGTAGTATATAGTTCGATAAAAAAATTAATTAATGTGCAAAATATTCAATGACAGGTGTCAATTTTCTTCTTTTCATTTACATTTTTGATTTATCTAATTCAATTAAGAGACTCAAAAAGTATGTATTAGTCGTTTATTTTCAATTAATTGTTAAAATAGCAATTTGAGTTATAAATATAATTTTAACATATAATTTACAGACTTAAAATTATCTATATTTACAAATGTTCGCGCTTGAAAAAAGGTAATTTCTAACCTTTAGGCTAAATTTTCATGTCTTGTATAATTTACAATATGTTAGAAAAAGGCCTCTTTGCATTCGGTAATAATTTTTTTTTTTTTACATGTATATTAGACTTTTATATAATGACTTTCAAAACACAAAGAAATGAACAGTTAGTTTATATTCAAAATCAGGAAAGAAAAATATTTATACAATGAATTATTATGGGAATGTGAATGAAATTTTCAGCATTTAAAATTTTGCAACAATATTATGGCGATTTTATTGAGAGCCATTGACGGAAATCAGCGTTGAGTAGAATCTGATATTGTGAAAAACCTATTCTTTTTCTTATCTCCGCGTCAAGGGCACTGGATCTGAATTGAATTTCTCCTCAAAGCTTTCTGAACAGACATAAATTATCTGCCATAATTTCCAGAATTTGGTGAATAAAACTTGCACTTAATTCACTTTTTCACAGTCATGTTATTCTTTTCAAAGACTTTTAACACGTGTTTCTGGCCGCCTTACCTACCACACTGATCAACCTTATTATAACCGAATATTAATAAATAAAGAAGATATCCTTGGCTTCAGTCTAAGATTGAAAAATTCCCTTAAATCGCAGGCTGTTAGATGATAATGAGACTACAATAATTCGCCTCCATAATTTCAAAGAGGCATTTTTTTTAAAATGTGACAGTTGTGATATTTGATATTAAAGAGAGAAAAAGAGATATGTATATGCAAAAAAGTTAACCAAAAGCCATAAATTTAACGTCTTGTGACAAGGCTCTCTCCGCAGGTGTTAAGATAATATTTTCCAGTTTAAACATTTTTAGTGCTGTCTGATGATTAATTATAAATGCTGCATTCGTTAGCCAAAGAATTCATGAGCCTTTATAATTTTTTTTTTCAAAGATTTATTTTCTTTCGCTGAAAATAAAAGTAGGACGATCAAATTGACTCAAGCAGTTAAAATAAATGAAAAGAAAAAATAATTCACTTGCCAGATTTGATATTTGAATAATTTGGCATAAAATGTATTTGGCCAACTAAGTACAAGGATAATTCTAATTTGTAAAAGACAATTGAATAAAAAAAAATTAATGATGATGCATACTGAACAATTCCTTTATGTTCAATAGTTCTTTTTTTTTTACGTGATTAAGCCTTTCCATCAACTCTGATTTGTTACCATTAACAATAAACACCTTGCTCTTTGGAGACATTAGTCTGTGTTTGACTTTGTATCGATGAAGGAAAGGACTATACATAACCATGTAAAACATTTAAAAGATCCCGAAATCTCTCTCATTTCCTTTACTGGTGAGAAATCTGAACCCCATTAAATCTGAGAGTCATTTTTTTTTCTTTTCTGTTTTCTTTATATTTTTCGAAATATAAATGATTTTGATGTAATTCCTAACAAGACATTAATTTCATGAAACATCTTAAAATTAAATTTAAAACAATTTATGAGCCATGTGCTTAAAGCTAATCAATGGAAATACGATGACAAAGAAATTGATTCATTTTTTTTTTCTGTATATTTCAATATATATGTCATTTTTGTTCAAAAATAGTTTCCAACAATATATGCAGCAAATCTCATTATGTAAATTATCTGGACTAAAACCCCTTATTTTGGATATAGAACGAAAAAAGCCCGGTTTAATTATAATCCACTGTGAGACAACTAAGTCAGGGGAAAAAAAATAATTTTCATTAACATATTGAAAAGCATTTCTTCTTAATTAGTTCGTACTTAGTTGGAATAATGCACTGGACTTCAAATACGAAAATCTTTATTCATTATATCTCTTAACTGGTACAGGAAACTCGTTCTGGGCTCTAAAATTATACATTATTTACATGTTGCTTAAAAAACGCAGTTGAATTTTATATTTGAAATATAAATGTGTTTTAGAGGGTTGTTTGAGTCGGTGAAATATGACCACACACGGAAACCAGACTAGCGCAAGTAAAAGGGATAATTCAATCCATGATAGCCGTAAATTAACAGAATAAATCAACCAGACAAACTCATTTAATGCCGATCTGTTTCTAAGACTAGCAGAGAAAATCTGTTTCTAGGTAAAAGACTTAAAAAATCGTTTTTCAAACCCCCCGACACAATAGTATACGAATAAAAAAAATCAACCAATTTTAATGTTTTTGGTCCACATTATTAATGTGAATGGTTTTATTTTTCCCAAGTAGTGAAATCTTATTGTTAATAAAATACTGTAACAAACTGTCGTAAGGAAAATTGCCTGCCGAACAAATTTCACATTACAAAACGAATCTAATTTATGGCCGGCAGACAAACATGGAATAAAACTTTCAAATTGCTAGTTGCAGACGACTACTGTTCCTCTATTATCAATAAAGCGGGAGACGGTTAACTGAGGAATTTTTCATTTATAATTGGCAAAAATGTCTTTTTTCTCAGTAACAAGTATCTTTGCCCATTTTGACGTCTGCTGCAGAAGCACTCGTTTGTGTAGATTGCTTGTATAAATATTGAGAAAATGATTCAATGTTGTTCTAATCGATGATTTGATAATGTAAAATCTTTTGTCGCTGCATTAAATTCAAGCCTTCTCTGGCGACCGGAAACTGTATGTTTTAGGCGGGAAGTTTTTACTGTTGATCTATTCATGACACTATCGTCTGCTCTGTAACTGATTTATGAATTTTCACTCAGATCATTGCATCTCTATTAAGATTTATAAATCTCTCCATACAAATATGTGTCGCCTACCTCTCAATGTACCCACCGAGGCTTATGAAGACCCGCTTCATGAATACACCGAATTTCTGGGGGTGGTTTCACTGCAAAAAGAAGATTCTAAATTACAACACAGCGGGCGTGTCCTGTGATCTTGTACCATAGCTTATGATCTTAAATGGACGTTTTGAAGATTGCTACATTCCGGCTTTTAATTCGATAAAGTGATTTTAGTTAAAATGTTTCATTTATCCCTTGGCGACAACTCATAATTATCACAGCTTAATAGAAATCCATTATTGACTTTCCTATTATCATATTTTCCCTTATTTTATATATTCTATAGGAAGCATAAGGCGATGTGAAAAAGAAGGTGAAGAAATTTTCATCCCAAATATTACAGACAATCCGTGTATATCCTGTTTCTGTAAGGTAAGATACAAAATAAAAAGAAGGTAATACACTGCGCAATTTTACAAATATATTATCCTACACTTTGACCACCAAAAAGAACACATTTTAGAGACTTTTGATATGAAACCCATTTGATACATTGACGAACTCACAATCGTTAAAACCCAAAATGAATGGTATACATAATGTACAAGAGTCATCCCTGGGTGTATCTCCAATCAGTGACAAGAAGCCAAAGAGAAATAGTTTTCGGTGTTTTCGTTTTTTTAAGAGAGAGAGAGAGAGAGATCTACCATAGTTGGTCGTATGGAAATACCACAAACAAAATGGGTGGATAGGTCTGTATTTATATACATGTAGATATATTTTAACTTAATTTAACTTTAACTTAAGAAAAGGGTGAAGATAAGTGATTGATCTCAAAAATGCATATATCCAATCTTTAAAACACAACCCTTCTATTTTTGCCAAAACTTTTAAAAATCTTTATCTTTATAGGACAATATCGAAGTTCTTGAATGAAATATGCGATAACTTATACGACAGTATCGAAATTCTTGAATGAAATATGCGATAACTACAAGTAATCATGCTCAAAAGTCAATCGAAACAATACAATTTGAGAAAAGCAAATATAGATCTTTTAAATCTCAGCAAATATGGTGGGATCAGATGCCATGAATGAGGGAACATTCCTTATCGACCGGTATATCCCGTCATATACTCTCTGTCATGATCAGGTAACTGAGGTATTCATAATAAATCCAGTATAAACATAATGATATTAAAAAAAAATTATGAAAAATGTAAGTCATCAGTCAACAGAATGACAGGCTGTGTTTGCAATAGAATTTGTGAAATGTTGACTGCAAATATACTATTGTGTCATCAGCTTTTTCCCGTGCTTGCCTCATTTTAGAAATATTCGTAAGAAGAACATATATCAACCGCGAGACATAAACCCCCTATGAAGTTAAAGTCATCACGTTTTTCAGAAAATTAAGATGTTAGATGATATTCTCGATTTTCTCAAGTAAAATATCCAAATAGAAAGCAGGTCAGACTCCATGGTGTCGTTTATTTCAGTTAAAAGGGATATATCATATCAATGTGTAAATGATAATGATATTTGTTTTTAAATTGAGAAAAGTCATCGATATATCTAAATGTTAAGTTACTAGTATAGGCCACAGCAAGAGACTTCTTTTGTAAAAGTTTGAATAAATTATGCATTATGTGAAAACTAAATAGTATACTTATAATGGACATAATGTGCACCCCGAGGAATTCTAACAGATTGTTGGAAAATCTTGTCTCCAAAAACTACATAGATATTGTAAAACAGAAATCTAAGCAAAGTCAGTCTGCAGATGACCAGATACTAGGTACGAAAATCTGCGAGATCCGATCTTATAAAAAGGAGTTAGTGATATCAAAAGCCTGGTCCTTCATTTGTCGTGGAGGATGATTTTTTAGAAAAAAAATTTGAAAATTCATGCCTTTCAATGCTACTAACTTTAGTTAAAAATTTTTGATTGAAGATTTTCTAAAAATTCTTTGGGGTTTTTAAGTATCCACATTTGATTAACATCACTTCTCAAATAGTTGTTTCACGGTACTACTGAATTGACTCTTTCAGAGCTTTTAAAATTAAGTGAGGAGAGGAGAAATGGGCTTGGTAGAACATTTACACGAACACGCTAAGTACATGTATCTTTGTGAGAGTTTTTATGAAGTTTAGGAATCCAGTATAGGTATGGTAATTAAAATTCATTTTGATTGTTGGTAATTTCTAGATCTATAGTACTGATACGCCCTACATGATAGATAGAGAGCAACTCAATAAACATTTGAAAATTTGATGCATTTTTATTCTCATTGTTTTCTTTTTTTTAAATAAACAAAAAAAATATATAAAATTAAAACCAATCTTTTAAAAGGAAAATAACTCTTAAAAACAATACTAGTACTGTTTTTAAACCACACAAAAACAAATCTACAAAACCAAAAAAAAACAAAAAACAAAAAAATAAAAAAAGAATAATAATTGAACATTACCTGTTTTATGACAATTTTGATATTAGCCAACTTCTTGAAGTCTTGCACGATCAGCTTAGAACTTATATTTTATGGTACGATTTACATTTCGGTTCTTCCCATCTGTTTGTATGACTCTGTAAGTCATGTAGTATCTCAGAGTCTAATTCCTTTTGAAGTCTATGTTCGTTCACAAAGCCAACATGATGTTTTTGCTTCTCAAGCACAACAGCTTTCTGCCTTACCATGAGTTTAAGTTCAACTGAAGACAAAAACCTGTTGAAATATAAGATATAGAGATTGGTAATAGATATAAAATTATAGACTTCATAACTTAATATCAATTAAACGACATGTAAAAATAATTTAGTGTTTTTTTTAAATATTTAAGATCATTTATCAGCAGTTTCGAATTGTTAATATTTTTGAAGACAACTGCATGCTCTTTGAAATCAGTCGGGTGCAAAGGCCCATATGCTTCTTTGTATCAAAAACGGGGATAAACCATGAATTTGGCATTTTGGGGTTCATAATCTTTCTTTTCCTGTTTCCTTCTTCTTCAGTATTCAGATGTTTTTTTTTAAATAAACCCAATGCCACATACTAAATTCTCGTTGACGTGGACCAAAGACTGCTGAAATGATATTGGGATTGGCAAGAACTATGAATGAACGACTATACATATAAACTTCACGTGGATACCCTTGAGAAAGATTGCAGAGCAGCAGGTCCTAATACGTTTAACATCTATCATATCTGCACAATACTTGTAAAGTTTGTGCGAATTGAATTTGCTATCATTCATGTTTATTTTGCTGTCCGCCGTATAGCTTAATCGGAGACAAAATACTTTTATTTCGGGAAGAATAAAGCGACCTGATTAAGAGTAGATAATGTTATTGCTTAAAAAGCCACCACTTTGACCCCGCACTTGCACAGGTGTTTAAGAGGTTATTTCCCATTAAAAAAAAATACAAGAGAATACTGCCCTATCTAAAATTACTTTATCTGTGGTATACGTATAAAATAGGCAAAAACAGGATATGAACTGAAAATCAAATACATATGTAACTTATCAATTCCTTTTTTTAAGTATAAAACTAATTTTTGCAATGAAATTAGCAGATCGTCAAGTACATAACCGATTCAAATGCTTTGAAAAAAGAAGCAGATTTCCTGCTTATGTTTATAAGTAGTTACTTTTCCCATATTACACGATTTAACGCCGAAAGTCGATTGTTTCGCCTTTAGAATATAAAGCGGTTGGGAGATCCAAGTATGTGATGTCTAGGCCAGACTTTTGTAAGTGTATAAAACGTCGACCACTAGTCTACGATGAACCTTTATCTCATTAAAATACCTTTAAATAGTTATATAATCATTTCAGTGAAAAGAGATAAACGTTTTGACATACTACACACAGCCCTGTTGATCAGGGATTTATCACGGTCCGACGTAGTTTTGCAATGTAATGAAGATTTATTGAGAAAACCACAAGGAGTAATGAAAGAGGCGGGCGTCGAGGACCTTATAAAATATCGGTTTTGCAACCTGAAAATGAAATTGAATGAAAGTTCTTTTTAAAAACATCCGATATCATTGGATTATTGCTTATTCAACTGTTAAATTATCAATGTAGCAACTGAAAGGACAAAGAGGTTTCGCTAATGTTAAGGCGGGTGTAAGAGAGTAGCGGCGGTTAGATGTATTAAAGTTGGGTGTAAACTTTTACCCGGAGACATAAAGTGTCGTCATAAGGTCATTAAGATAATATTTTGAAGAAATGTAGCTTTACCAATCGCTTACTACCATATCTGTTAAGGGATGCAGTAAATTTGTGTTAATTGACTAAACCTACACAAAAGAGAACAACGCTCTCTAACTTAGGTTTACCGCTGACTGCCTCAACAGTTTCAAACAAAACAGAAAGATAAACAATAGTAAAAATGCTGGAAACAACTTACCTCACAATAAAAAGTAATTAAAAGTAAACAAAATACATGAAGTAAACAGGCAAATACTAGTATTGGCTTTTGTGAATACTTCTTAATGCTTAGCTTTCTTTTCCGTCATAGTTTCAACCTTTTTTTCTGTATGTCAGCAATGGTATCTAGCTTTAACTAGTAGCAATCTGATTTTTGATAATTGGCGAAAGTATACTCACATGAACTTTATGAAATATACATGTAATATATGAAATACTGTGGTTTCATCAATTTTCGTTGGCATCAATATTCGTGATTTTTGAAAAAAACAGACGTTTTCGAGGATACATGATTTCGTGCACAAAGGCATTGCCTATGCAAATGAATATCATATATTTCTTAATTCAATGAACATTTGAATTCGTGGATCTGCTCAACAACGAAATCCTTGAAAATTGGTACTCAACGAATATTGATGAAACCACAGTTTGAACTGTTCCTTCAAACAAAACACCTGTCATTTGTTTTTATAAAATTCGTGTTTCTAATTTAAAAAAAAAATAAATGTCAAATCAAAGGAAATTGGATATCTAGCAATATATACATACATATTAGTCTGTTGAACTTAAGGTCCTTTGAAGAAGCAAACTGTCATAAATGCGAGTTTGTCATAGCTCTTAATTTCAGCTAAATATATACTTGTAGGAATTAATACAAAATTTAATTTTCAAAAAGTATTTTTGAGAAACCACATTTAGATGCTTCAAATCATGTCAGTTACTTTTCTGAATGAGTTCCAAATCCTATGAACTAGTTGAGTCAGCCCTACAATTCACGTAAAAGGATAAAGGTTTCAGTCGGATGAAAATATTAGATTGCATACTTCATCCAAAAAAGGTTAATAGTACATACATTAGTAAAAATCTTGTTTTAAAACATTCATTCATATTCTGTAAGTCTGGAAAGAAAATAGTCCAGCCATTGCCTATTGCATAGCGTCGAGACGCAAGACCCTTGACTTGATTTAAGTGCTTCTAAAGCACCCTCTAAAGCAAACAAGTGGTTTTTTCAAATGACAAAATCGGAGACGAGTAGAATGTGTAATATTTTGTCTGATCACACACGCTACTCAAGGGACCACACAATATGATTTTCAATAGCTCTATATTGACCAATTTGACATTAGCATTAAATTGGCAAAAGCAAAATGTCTGCAAGTAGAAATTCTACGCTCGTCTCAGTGCCGAGTATGTCTCTCAACTTCAATACGCATTCATCTTTCCGCTGAAGTCTTCCATGTTAACAATATTGGTATTCGAATTGAATTTTTGTTGACACAAAAATATCGCAGAATCACGAAGCCTGCAGTAGCAATTACATCAATGGAGAGCTTTATTCCATAATCGAAAACTCGCAAACAAAACAAACCCGAACATTTATGATAACTAAATTATTTTCATTCCAGAGGTGGTTGTTGAAAATGATTTTGTTTACACTGGATATTTATACTTCATTTATATCAATGATTCGGGGCTGAATGTAAATTTGTGTTGCTCTACAGCTAGAGTCAACTCATCTCTTTTAAGTTTTATTTAAGATCAGGGTGGTTTAATGTGTCTATTTAACTACCCGCGCGCTATGTAAACAGACTTAGCGTCCAACATACATATATGTATATGTATTATATCTCGTAAATGCATTTAACAGGCATCTTATGATTAGTCTAAGCAAATATTTATATGGACAGAAAAGGGTTACTTTTGAAAGATTCTTAATAATGATTTAAAATAGACTCTAAAAATTTCCTTCAATTACCATACATATATGACTCTTGAAACGCAATTATCATAACCATTCTAAGTGGCTCAGTGTATTTAGTTTGATCTTGTATGAAAACATCTTTGTGAATGAGTATGTGCTGTTTCAGTCTAATCAAGTCTTAGTGAATAGAGGCCGTTACACTGCTAAATGTTAACAGTACTGATGTGACAGTCTTTATCAGTCAAATCACTAAGCTGTTTGATGTACAACAAGTGTTTGTTTTCTACAAATTGACTTAAACATTATCCGGCTCTGATAAGCCACAGATAAAATTATGTCGAGTTCTAATCTATGGAAACAAACACACTAACTACCTTATGTCATAAGAGACATGATATCTTTTTGGTGTGAACCTATAATGGACGAATCCTGATAATGAAGGGTTCATGTATATGAAAATATATTTATAAAATTTTGACTCTTGGAATATTTTATTGTATAATAAATTCTAAGTCAGTTATCTATATCACAGTTTCGGAGCCTTTGATCTTGAGTTCCATATGTCTTTCCTACACGCGTAAGAAAGGTTGATTTATTCCTTGTACCAACAGATCTCAGTCTCGTCGTTTAGTTTATGACATCGCCAAACTCCTATTGCTTCCCAGTATTCAATATTTGGGTTGGGTGTTTTTCTGTCCACTTCGGTCAATTCGCTCTTATAACGTCACAGTTTTTACATGCCGTCTGAGTCAAGAAATAAAACAAATGCTTAAAGTTCTCGAAAACACACTAATTCAATTGATTTTTTTATTAAAAAAATCTTATTTTAAACATTATTAAAACAAAATAACCGTAACTGTTGAATGCTTGCATTAGTCTGAATAAAAAGTTTGATTTAGGTAATTACTGGTTATACATGAATAGTAAATTTTTGAAGACCACTGAACTCTTAATCATTAAAATAATAAAACAATTAGAAAAAGAACCACCTTTACCTTTGAATTTCGTTTTAGAATAAAGAAGTCACATGTCGGCGAACTAGCTGTCCCAATCTTGAAGGCTGCCATATGATATTGTATGAGAACTTACAAGAGAAACAGAAGTGTTGTGAGATGTGTAAAGGCTGTACTTACCAGGGTACTGAGTACACCAGTGGAGAGCAGTGGAGCAGCCCAGACAACCCCTGTGTCAAGCTCTCGTGTAGGGTAGGTACATCAAAAAGGATTAACAATTTCCTTGTTATCAGAGGGAATTGCATAGAATTTTTTATGCTTAAGTATTCTGTTTAGCCTGAAGTAAAAAAAAAAAGAAACGAGGAATTACTTTTCATTTTAAGACAATTAAAATAAGCAAATCAGACAAAAAGAGTTAACTTTCTTTAGGACAACTTGACCTGCAACACAATATTTTTATGAATGAATATAACCGTCGAGAATTTTCTATCAAGATTCAATCCATGATAAACATATAAATAAGCAAATGCCTACTAAACTCTTAATTACTTGGATATAAACGAAAAGATCCCTATACAAAGCAGAGGAGACATCTTAAAACATCAGAATGGGTCATGCATCATGGAAATAGCAGTATCCCTTGTCGAGCCGTTACACCTGTCTTATGCTTTAATCACAGAGTAAAGAAGTGGAAAAAATCCATTAAACTCCAACGTTAACAGAAAAATAGATTACAGTAGTTTGCCAAGTCATAATAAGTTTAACATTCATTATTACAAAATCAAAGCAAAACAGAAGAAAAAAAAACAAAATGTGAAGTTTGAAAAAGACTCAGAAACAACCTGATCTGTAACACTCCCAAATTGTACAGAGTAACATGTAACAAATATTTCAAAAGTTTATTCTAAAAAGGTACTGAACAGTAGTAACAGACAAGGAAACCGATATACAGGTACATCACAGGCACCTGTCGTTACTTATTTTTCTTTTAATAAAAATATACCCCCTTACTTATAATAAAAATATATTATAAGGTAGGGGGTATATTTTTTTTATTAAAAGAAAAATAAGTAATAACAGGTGCCTGTGATGTACCTGTAGATAAAGGGTTTAATAATAGCCCTCTTCACATAGTAACATTTACTTGCTCACATTTATTTCAAAGGATATCTTCGTTAAAACCAAATAATTGTTAAGATAACAGATTATCCTTATTTTGTTGACGATTTATAAATATCAATAAACATATTAAATTGGTTTTATAAAAAGGTAACTGACAGTTTGTGTGGAATACTGTAAAAATGTAAAAAGACAAAAAAATCGTTTTTTACCTTTTGATATCATTCAAACCTGTAGGAATTCCATACTTCAATCATACTTTTCATTCTTTACATAACTGTGGCATTCTTTTCTAAAGGAAGCGTGGGTTTCTTGATTTACGATGTAATTGATTGTTATGTTTATACATGTGTATTTACAAAATGAATAAAAATATTAATACGTTGCAGATAGCAATATATAAAATTCACCTCTTGCCATTTACATTCATTTTGCTATTCATGCCTTAATGAAGAAAAAAGTACTATTTTGGGATAAAATTTTATTTGATCCGTTGTGTTTCTTGGTGAGAATAAATTATTTATTAAAATTTATATGAAATTATTTAATATATGATGTACTTTTATTTGGTTTCATTCGGTGTTTCCTTTCTATATCTTTGATATTTATAAAGTAATTAGCTTGTAATATATTATTTTAAAATAAACAGATATATTAAACACATACATGATGTCATTTTATAGTTCTGATATATAGTTGACAAGAATATAAATGTTTTGAAGGAAGAAGCATCGAAATAATTAAAACCATAATGTATTTGTTCCATACCAGGCAGGAGTCATAACAAGGGCCACAACCAAATGCTTCTCCCATTGCAAGAACCCCGTTACTGTACCGGGACAGTGCTGCCCTATTTGTCAAGGTACAACACAATTAATTAACACAAATACCTTAATTAAACCTTTCCTCATCATAAGAATAGCAAAACAAAAATACAGACATTATTTACCTTAAGTCAAACTGAGAGCCAATCATTTTTCGTCTTGTAGGTTGCCTAGATAATGGTAGAACGTATCAGAATGGTGAAGACTTTACCCTCAGCACGGACGTCTGCACAAAATGTACATGTCAGGTATATTGAATTAGAAGACTGGAATAATGTTCATTTGTGTCACTTTGTGCAATTATACTTTCTGCGTAGAATACATAACGTTTGTCCATTCATTTAGAAAAGTAAAAATAACGATGAATTATTATGCAAAAACCTTGCAAAGTACAGTGCCTTATGATAAAATCTGTTGTAGATGTAGTCTACGAATCAGCATGTTTCATTTGTTAATGTTATTATCCTTTTTTTTACATGAATAAATCTTTAGAAAGTATTTTTGTTTTTTTTTCAAAGAATGGCAATGTGTCCTGTGCGAAGGAGGTTTGTCCATTGCTGAATTGTCCAGAATCCGCCATTGTACATAAAGAAAATGAATGTTGTCCTTCTTGTGAAGGTATCTAATCAATTCTGTTCCAAACAAAGTTCTAATAGATTATTCAAACGATTTTTTTAAAATTTTATATTTGATTGAGTCACAAAGAACGGAATCATCCGGTGAATTAAAGGTTTAACGATGTTAATATTTTTTTATGTATCTTCAGTCCTATAAATGCATATATGCTTTTGCAGGTCAAAGAAAAGTGTTTAATTTACCTCCGGGATTTTGTTTCTTTCAAAAGAAAATCTACAAAACAAATGATGTCTTCAAACCAGAAGAATGTACCCGGTGCACGTGTTTGGTAAGAAATTTCCAAAAATGATTTCCATGCATACCCAATTATGTTGACTGGTGTTTTTCATACAAATTGCAAACCCATTATTTTTTGTATTATATACATGTATAATGTTTTATTCTATTATGACAAAAAGAACATTAATGTTCATTATTTAATGAACGCTTTCCATTGATACCGTCAACACTTCTGGAAAGAATTGATCGAATTGCAGTCCTTTGGTCAATTTTAGATTGACAATTCCACAAAATTTGATTAATAAGCAATAATTCTATAATAGCAATAGAAAATAATTAATTCAATGCATGAAACGGAAATTCATAGACATTTACAGATAATAGGATATTTTTTTTATTAAATGACGTGTTATGGCAGCTTTACAAATAGTTACAGAAATCAGACCTTAAATTTAGAATTTATTTGCTTTTATTTCAGTTAGCTTTATGATAAATCACAAAATTTTGGGGGATATTTTTTTAAACTCTTACAGAAATGAGAAAGTTGTTGAATCTTAGCAGTAAATTAGTTTCTAAAATTTTGAAATGAAAATTTGAAATATATATAATATATAGTTTATAATTTTCCAACAATTTGAAATGTTAAAACATTTGGAGAAAACAGTAAAAAATTGTTAAAAAGAATTTACTGAAAATTTAAAACTTGAAGATGACGAACAGTAATTAGGTCCAAAAGAACGATACAAAGTTGGAGCTGAACAAATACAGACCTCTAAAAATATCAGACTGGCATGGCACCAGCTTCATGTACCATCCCCTTTCGACATATGGCCGAGGTCATGCCTAGGTAAACGGAAAAAAAAATCTTTCTGAAGAAATGGTCAAACAATCAAATCAAATTCAGCAACTCCTTTTTTCAGCAGTTTATCAATTCTTGGTATTGCAAAATTAAGCTACAGAGTAAAAAATTCCTGGAAAACAAACATATTGTACAGACAGACAAATGGAATAAAATTTTATAACCTGCCCAGTTTCATTTCACTGATGTTTTATTTTAAATAAAAGCATCCAATTTAGTTTTGAATACTTTCTATGTTACTGAAAAAAGTTTACAAAAAAATGTTTCAAGTTTCTTGCCGTTTTAGATGGGGACCATTGTCTGTGAGAGGGAGATCTGTCCACCTATCACATGTGACGTCAATATGACCGTCAAGAGGGAGGATTCCTGCTGTAAAGTCTGTCCTCAAAAGGAAATCTGTGACTATGAGGGTGCCACGTATCAGGTAAGAACAGTCGTCGTGAATTAACACCCCATTGAAATTTCACCCATTGAAATAAGGATACGATTTTCTTTGCTTGACAAGATTTCTCTTGAATTTATTAAACCCTATGTATTTTGTAACACTTTTAAAAATTAATGTTCATTGCTTAAACAGAGAGACATTTCTACCCATTTTGTTCTTGGATGGAGAACATTCAACTTGTTATAACTATTAAATTTTGATTTATGTTGTAGGATTCTGAAGTTTGGCAGCCCAATATCTGTACTAAATGTTCCTGTGATGACGGCACCACTAGGTGTCGGGTCCAGCAGTGTAAGACATCCAGCTGGTGTCCACCGGTTAGTTCTCTGAAGAAATTGTGAATTTTGTCTCAAATAAAGAACAAATATAAATATTATAGCATCTTCAGCAATGCTTTTAATCTAGAATTATTGTATCTAATACACTTAAAGTATAACCCATCTACAAATTCTTTGAAATGTTAGTTGTTATTTTTTCTTAAATTATTATTACCTATTAGAATTTAATTATTTTCATTGCAGGGTTATAAATTAAAGTATTTGGACGGTGAATGTTGTCCCAGATGTGTAGAAGGTATTTACACTTTTGTATAAACAAACCTTGTGATGCTTTTTAACATTAATGTTTAATCAAAGTGAAGTTATGATATAATTAAGCAGTCTGAAGAACTTGATAATATAATAAAAATATATTGTTTTATGCTTATTTTTCAGCCAGTGGAATTTGTACAGTGTTTGGTGATCCTCATTACAGGACGTTTGACGGGAGGATCTATAATTTTCAGGGAGCGTGTAAATATTTATTAGCAGAGGACGAAGTGACTAAAAAGTTTTCGGTGACAGTGAGAAATGACGCTAGATCCTCGCCGTGGTATACATGGACAAGGATGTTAACAGTATTTATAGGAAAAACTAAAATAGGGCTTCATCAAAAGCTAAGAGTCAAAGTCAACAGAAAAAGAATCAAACTTCCTTATAAGAATAAGGATCCCGACTTTTCTATTCATAGAGATGGAAATTCGGTGATATTCAAGGCTGTGTTTGGATTACAGATCGTTTGGGATGGAGACAGTTTCGTAGAACTCACTGTGTCAAGTCAGTACAAACGCCGAATGGCTGGACTTTGTGGGAATTATAACGGGTTCGGTGCTGATGACCTTCAGGGTCGCGACCGTAAATTGTATTTAGACAGTGAAGAATTTGGGAATACTTGGCGGGTAGGCAGCAAGGCAGCTTGTGTTTTGAGTCATGAGAAATCAGAACAATCGTCACTGTGTGATGGGGATAAAAGAAGGCGAAAAAGGGCGAGGGCCGCCTGTAGTTTTCTTCTGGGAAGTGTGTTCTATAAATGTCGACGTCGGGTAGATGTGAGGACTTATTACAGGTAAATATAGAAAATATTGCTTTTAGTGACATTTTGCTTTTACATTGATATATCGGATGTAAAAATATTGAAATATTTTACGTGAACATTTTCTTATTTGAAATATTTATGCATATTTGACGTTAAGATGAGTTCAATCTACTATTCAAATAAGCTTGCAATAATTCAACTGATGTTTATTAACGATTCGTACAGAATCATTGACAAAGTACATAAAAATGATAGGGAGCTTGTTTCTTGAGACTAGAGCCTTATGTAGACAATTCTTTTATTATTTTTTAATTGAACAATTACATGTATTTTATTTGCAGTTCATGTATTTCTGATATGTGTGATTGTCCAAAAGACAAAATATGCGCATGTGAATCTTTCAAAGCCTACTCACATGCCTGTCTCCGTGAAAGTGTCAGTATCCGGTGGGAGAGGCATATATTATGTCCGAGTAAGTACAAAGAAAATTGTAATACTTATAATTATTCTTAAAAAAGTTGTCATTTTAAGAACTCGTTTTAAAATATTGACTCAGATCAAATAAGAGGAACAAAAGTCTCCCATATACAGTTTGTAAACTTAAAAAAGAAGTGTACATGAAATATATAGAGATAACGAACAGTATTTAAGCGGAAAAATCTATTCAAACAATACAAACAAGGAGCAGAGCAAGCATTAGTGGAGGCAAGTACAATGGAGGAGTGAGCATCCTCCGCTTAACGGCCACACCTGCCGTGTGCTCATAAAATTCATTTATAATTTTATTTAAATTCTCAAGTATATGGTATTACTATGTTTTCATAAATACTAGAAATATTAGCGTGAATAATACATCAATGGTAATAAAAGGGATTAATGTAAAGAAAATGACGTATTTCTTAGTTGTATTGATTAATATCATAGGCGTCGGAACCGGGGGGGGGGGGGGGGGGGGTTCTAGGGGGGCTTAGCCCCCCCCCCCCCCACTTTTTTTCCAAATATATACTTAGTATAGGCATTGAACATATCTTCATAAGTTTAGCCCCCCCCCCACTTTCCACAGATACGTCTTAGTATAGGTTAAAATTGGGAAAAGTGTTGGTGTTTGGAAGAAAATTTTGGTACTGGAGTTCGAACCTAACACCCCCCCCCCCCACGAAATAGGATAGGATTTTCGTGTTTGGGAAATAGACATTTCCTTTTTTTTTTTTTTTTTTTTTTGCTTGTCAGGATTTTTTGGAGGTACAAAAAAAATTTTTCTTACACTTAGCCCCCCCCACTTTCAATTTGCTTCCGACGCCAATGAATATGAACCATATGTTTTATAGCTTATCATGAACCGAAATATTAGTAAATTAACCTACTTTGATATGTACACATTTCACTATTAATAAATAAATTACGTACTTACTTACTTTTTATATAGATCGATGTCCAAGAGGAGCTATTTTCAAAAGTTGCACCAAGCGTTGTTCTAAGACCTGTGAGGAACCAAAGAGGACAGGTCACTGCAGGGATAAATGCCAGCCTGCCTGTATCTGTCCAGGGAGAAGGGTACTCCATAATGGGAAGTGTATAGCGCCGAACATGTGCCCTGGTGTCTCATAATCCGTCCATATCTATGTTATGAATTTTATTTATTTGCCAGTATGCATGTTTTATTGCAATTTGTTTTCATTCTGAGAGATTAAAAACTACAATTTTAGATTTGTGTTTTTATATACTGAGACAAGAAAAATAAAAAGAGTGGAATGGTTCACAGAGGCTCTTAGATTTAGCCATTAATTTATTGAATGAAATGAATTGATTTTGATATAACCTTCAATGTGAAATTTTACTGAAAATATGGGATGTTAACATAGCATGAAACTAGATTATCTTTATTAAAAGAATTTGCTTTCCGTTGTTTTAAGATATAAACATTATAACGTGGGCATAAAGACATTTTAAAAATCGTACCATTAAAACATGCAAGTCCGAATAATTTTGAGAAGTTATATTGAAATAATTATAATATTATCATGACTATGGGTTAAAGGAAGATTTTGCTGCCCTCTATAAATTACGTTACTTTCAAATTGATGCAAATCAATTAAAAACATCTATTGAACGACACAGATGGCATTTGATTAGGTAAGTTATATAATTTAAATGATGCCTTGTGTGGTCCTCATAAATGTCGAAAATCTATCAATGTTCAGTACTTACGTAGTAATCAAATGTGTATATAATAGGACTGAAAAATGTTGAACAATTTTTGCACACATTGCTGTCGAGTATAATTGATAATATAATTACCTTTACAGTGATTAATGTCACCCTCGACAATTATTGCCATTTTGTTATATATACATTCTGTTTCACAGAGTATCGATAGGTACAAATACCTGAAATCTGTTCAGTTATTTAGTGAGAGTAAAGCAAAGGGCTCTTTCTTGGAGAGATTTACATGTACCTTTGTTATATCTCTGTATCTTAAGGCTTAGATGGAATCTTTTTATAAAGTCTGCATTTTGTCTTTCTTTAATATGTTTTTTCCTCACCCATTAATGCAACAAAGCCTTGAAGAAGATATGATCCTCTGATACAAGAGAGATAACTTGTAGATGGTTGAACAAGGCGAGCGGAATGGCTTTAGTACGTGGGCTGTTCAATAAATAATGTCCTGAGCTCTATGAGATACAACATAGATATCATATGACATAAAACTTCACTTTCTCTCATGATTGAATCTTTCATGAAATGATTACGGTTTATATGACCACTTTTCATCACATGGTTCCATTGTGTGAAGCTGGAAAACAAGGACTATTCGAGACACTGCATTAAAAATGAATGGTAAAGAATCAGTAAACTAGAGTGAAATAAAACGCTTCATTAAAGCTGCTGTATAACTCGTTAAGAATCCAAAAGAAATATGCACTGAAATATGTGAAATTTACAACAAACAATGTCCGTAATGTCCGTTTTATAGACACATGAGCAGATGGGTTTCAATGAACCAAAATGATATAATGGGCATCAAAAATGGGTACCGTCCTTGGCGACAATTACGTACAACTGGTGTTTTATTTGCCAAAATTCAACAAATTATCACTGAAGATGTTTGCTTGAGTTTAAGACACAAAGAAATTATTTTTTTTAAAAATTAAGAAATTAGAGTTATCAACGTTTGTCTGAAATTCAAACATATAATGAAACTTAAATCAATTGTTTTAAGCCCTCAAAACAAATTTACAATAGGAAGCACTTGACAAAAACAGCCAAGGTCTGAGAAGAGCAAAAACATTTTCATAAGCACAAAAACAGTTTATATGCCATTTTCTAAAATATTAGTGGTTTTGTTGTTCACATTCTTATTCGGGAGGCAGTTCAATTTCTGGAGGAATCTTGGAAGCAGAAAAAAATCGAAAGGTTTATGAGAGGATGGAACCAGATTCAGAAATCCACTACATTTAATGTCTTCATGACAGCGTTCAAACCCACATGCGACGAAGAGTAAAGGGGTTTTGGGAATAAATAGATAAACAGTTAAAGTTTTCTCATTTTTTTTCAACAATAATCAGGAGATCTTTCACCCTTTGACTTGTTTCATTTTCCAAACTTGAAAAAAATACTTTTCAAAAAAAAAAAAAAAACAAGTCCAGGAAATAATAGGATCTTCCATATTCCATTATACGAAGGGCCATACTCAAAAATGTGTTCTAAAAACAATCAGAAATTGTGTAAAATTGTTACGGTCATGTGTTTTAATTAAAAGAGAATATTTAAGTGAAATTATTAATACTAATCATTGAAAAACGTTTTTGTTTCTTTTTGAGCACCGGGGACATTATTTATTGAATAACCCTCGTATATACATGAAAGTTAAAATTTATATCTCAATTATATAATTTTTTTAATTGATTATCGACATAAAGTGTACTAAAATGTAAAGTTTCTACAATTTCAAAATTATTTGCCTATGAAATAACGAATACCCACTAAAGATAACAGAAAAAACTTTTTCTAATTTAATAGAGTTTTGTGATAAGAATACCATAAAAATAGCATGTATTTAGAGCATGCTCTTGCATATCAAATCAACTGAGATACATAAATTCCTTATGCAGTGATGAAGGTATATTGCTTCACAAGTAAGGGAAGTTGACGATAGAAAAATTAAAGTCATCACGTTTATCATGGAGCTTGGTTGTTAGATTACCATTTATGTCTTTTTAAAGTAAAATATGAAACAGATGTGTCAGACTCTGTCGTATCTTTTATCTCAAGCTCACCAGGATATATCGTATCGACCTAAGAATAGAAATTACAATTGTTAATTGACAATATGTCGATATATGTAAATGTGGAGTTGAAATCCACAGTAAGTGTTTTCTTCTTTTCACGCATAAGATTTTGCACAAAAATACTGTTTCATATGAATACAAAAATAGGTCTGCTAATAACGGGGCGCAATTGGTACCCATGGGAATTCCTATAGATTGTTGGAACCTAATCTCCAAAAACAACATAGATATTGTCAATCAGAATCTCCGGCATCTTTTTGATGTCGACTGCAGAGTACCTGTGTGTACAATCAGAATGTTTTTTTTTAATAAAATAATTTTGCAAATGACCAATGACAAGGTAAGTAAATTTACGAGTTCCATTTTTATTGAAAAAGCAGCTGTCAATGACATCAAAAAGTCAAGACTTTAATTCATCGTGGGGAATGGTTGTATATAAAGTTGAAAAGTCGTAAGTTTTTAAGCTGTTGATTTTGGTAAAATCTAGTGATTTCCAAAAGTTCATTGGAATTTTTTTTTTAATTCTTTATTTGTTTTACACAATCTGTTTCACAATTCATAATACAAAAATTAATATATTACAGATTGGTTTTTTTGATAGAGGGAGAGAAAAGAGAGAGGGAGAGAGGAGAGAGAAAGAAAGAGAGAGATAGAGAGGGAGAGTTGGCATGTTTTAAAATTCCTTTACATAAATAGGTTTTTTTCATTTAATAACATTTCATGAAAACATTTGATTCCACAGATTCCAGTTGGTGTCAAACATCTCTCTGTCACCATTCTTATATGCTAAATATTTTTGAGTTTCATAAAAAAAATTTAATATGTGAAGTCGCAAGTCTGACATCTAATTTTTTTTCTAAACATCTCATTGTATATATATAATATTTTATCCATAGCGCCATCAGGTTATGAATATCTTTGTTTTTTACTAGAAATCCCAAAATAAAACTTTGCTTTGTAAATGAAAGTTGCAACCCTGTTCTTTGTTCACAATGTCTTTCAAAACTGTTGAGGAAGGTTTGTACATTGTCACACTCCCATAAAATATGTATTATTGTTTCTTCTTCCATATTACAGAAAGAACATAAGTTATCATCTCTTTTCCTAATTTTACATAGATATGAGTTTGTACCTAGTATTTTATTTAAAATTCTGTATTGAAACCATTGAAGTTTACTATTTTTTGTAATTTTAAAAGGAAGTTTAAAAATCCTTTTCCATTCACTTTCCCCTAAATTAAAAATATCATTCCATCTTGTTTTCCCAGTGGGTTCAATATCATTTACATTAATTATTTCGTAGAACTGTTTTGCTTTTTTACACTTTGAAAGAATATGAGTGCTGGGCAAAATTAATGGGTTAGGTAATTTTGCAATTATTTCATTAGTGTCTGTTGCTTTCATCCATGCCTTTACAGCATGTATTATGCTTGCAAATTCTAAAAAATTAAGCCTTACATTTGGATATATGCCACAAAATTCCTCATAACTATAACAGGAACTATTTTCATCTATAAGATCATTAATAAATCTAATATTCAGATCATACATATTTTTGTTATAAATGACTTTCCCACCAATAACAATTTTAGGATTATAAAAATTGGTATGTCTCCTGCAACCTTACATACATTATAGTGTTTATTTATATAATAGTGTTGCATTATGCATGTACTATGCCTAAATAGTAGGCAGGGTTTGACACATGGTGCACGAGCCGGAGGCGAGTGCACTATGTGTCAAACCCTGCCTACTATTTAGGCATAGTACATGCATAATGCAACACTATTGTTATTATTATGCTGACTGTTGTTATTATTTATGCGGCAATCCATTTGATTTTTTCCTGAAAATAATGGTGGTAACACAGCGCACTTGCAAAAACTCATTCAAAATCTTCATGCTAGAATTAGTTGCATGCTTAGTTATTTTGGTTACTAGTATTTTCTCTAAATAAGTAAGAATTTTCTGTCACAAAGATACTCATCTTTATTTTCTGTTTTGTTAGTAAGACTGATTTGTTTACAGTCGTGGATTCTCATTGATAATTTTCTTTTACATCCTTCAATCAAGCGCTATATAAAAAAGCGTTTTAATGACCCCATGATATCAATTCATCTAACGATCTGTATATAATTAGTTTGAAACTTTGTTGTACACATTTATCTCAGATTCCTTGGAATAAATATAACTGTTTTCAAATAATATTTGTCTATTTTCTTCTTCTTGTGTCAATTGTATAAATTAAGTTTATATATTTAATAAAATTCTCCTAATCAGTGATCGTCTCTATGGCGTAATCGATAAGGCTTCGGACTGGCAACCTCACGGTCGCGAGTTCGATTCCCAATGTGTGTAATGTAGAATTTTCTTCAAAAAGTAAAGCCGTGCTCTATTTCGGCATAGTATGCTTACGCTATATAAATCCTTAGACCACTATGCGAGAATAGTAGGGTATGGGCTATATAGAGACAAACTGACAGGAAGCATAATAATATTTAATTCAATCCAAGCTTCAAAAACATCTTTCCAAAACTTGTTTTTAAGGTTCTTCATGATATTTTTAATATATTCAATGCCGCATGTTAATATTTTTGTCAAATCTATATTAGGTAAAAAGTTTTGTAAACCTTTATCTGACAGAATAAGCTGTCTCATCCAAAATAACTTAAGTGATGCAGTGAAAGATTTATCATTTTTAGTCCGCCTTCTTCATATTTTTTTACTAAGACATCTTTCTTCACTCTGTGTTGTGGACCGTTCCATATAAATGAGAAAAATAATTTTTCCAATTCCTTCAAAAAGTTTGGAATAGCCATTAGTATATGGTTTAGCAGCGGTAAAACAAGAGTTTTAAGAACAGTTATCTTTCCAATAGGTGTTAAATATCTCTTACTCCACTGACTAATTATAGATTTTATTTGTCTTAATTTTGGCTCATAATTGAGTCTTTCAACTTCATTCAAATCAACATCATAATGAATTCCAAGTAAGGTAAATCTTGTACATCCCCATTTAAGATTATACTCATGACTTAGTATTTCTTGACTAAATCTTTTGGAACCAATCCAAACTGCATGGGATTTTGAACAGTTGATATATAAACCAGACATTTCGGAAAATTTCTCTAATGTTTTCATCACTTCTGTCAATGATTCTTTGCTACCGTCTAAAAGGATTGAGGTGTCATCTGCTAATTGGGATATTTTCTTTTCCATATTTTTTACAGTGATTCCATTGATTTTTTTATTTTTTCTTATCATTATTGCTAAAATTTCTGCACACAGGATAAAGATATAGGGTGATAGAGGATCCCCTTGTCTACACCCTCTCTGTATATTGAATCTTTGAGAAAAATTACCACTTTGATTAATTGTGGAACTTATATTAGTATAAAACAGTTTCACCCATTTTTGTATTGAGGGACCAAAATTAAAAAACTGCAAGGAATTCTGAATAAAATCCCATGAAATAGTGTCAAAAGCTTTCTCGAAGTCAATCAAAAGTAACAAGCCTGGTATATTTTCTTCTTCTGTGTACTGCATTATATCATAAATCAAACGTGTATTTTCTCCTATGTACCTATTTGAAATAAAACCTGTTTGATCGTTATTTATCAATTTGTCAAGTTTATTTTTTATTCTGTTAGCAATAGTACCTGATGCAATTTTGTATACAGTGGAATTTTTAAGAATCCGCATCTGACTTACACTTCTTGAATATATCGTTGCACAGTACTCTTGACGTTTCACATTTACTACTGTTAATATCTTAGTGAAGCGTAAACAAAAAGGCTGGACGTTCATTACATGATTTTGAAAGAAGGTACTTGTTAAATGCAATTTGAAATATTTAAATTAACTGAGGTAAGTACTCCATGCAAACAATTTCTTTGCAGGAGGGTTTAAGAAAAGAAGTCCCCAGAATTGCACATATTCGTTTCATATTTCAGATTTTTTTCACGTTGTTGCCATTGAATCAAATTATTGTTTCCCTTTAATTAAACTACTACATGTATTCTACTATTATATGCTAATAATTCAGATAATCTTTTAGCTAAAATATCACAGAAACTCTTGTTGATATTTTATTGTATTTATTATTATTGAATATGATTAATATTCAATACATCTTATAAAAATATTATGCTTCTTAACAACAAAATATATATGTATATTCCATAAAAACATATATTAATCCTAGTTACATTTGTAATCACATTTATAATCATTCTCATTTTTCCATATTTTGAAAAAAAATCCATTTCTGTTTGGCAAACATAACTACAACTATGCTGCATAATGCAAATATTACACTTTGTGAGTAAGCTATATCTTATAATGGAATGGATTTCATTGTTTAATAAGTAATAATACAAAAAATAACACAATGCTTCAAATTAACTGATAAATAAGTTAATTTAGCACCAGAAAATGAGACGTTCACGTTTTTGAACAAAATATGGTGATTTTACCTATCGAAGTCATAAGAACTGCAGAAATGTAGACGAAAATTTTCTGTATTAAAAGGGACTGTACCGTATGAAAAGTCACCGGTATTGAAGAAAATAATGTTTAAAAAGTGCTACTTTCACATTTCTCAATGACATTCATCTTAAATATGGTTACATTTGAGCTGAAAATCTCTCCATTAAAGAATTTGGAATATAGTGCCCCTATTTGCTTTTAAGAGGGAAAACAGGTATTGACATGCGAATATATGAACATCTAAAATCTGCGTAGTTGTGTAAATTTTCAATGACAGGAATAAAAAAAAATTAATAACTCATGCAAAAATAGGAATCATAGAACCATACATCAATATTCATAACAGAGATGTATGTGATCACATATTGCTTTGAACAACACTCTTAACACAAGCCCTTCTAATATTTATAAGTTGTCATGTCAACTGATTTGAAGCCTTGCTCTGACATGGTATTGGTAGCGTTATCCTTATCTGGAGTCTCGTTTCTGACTTTATAGAGGGGGTTTTCCATCCCGGCCTGGCCTGGACCCGTCGTCGGCTGGTGTATGTCGCCGATAGACGTGTACCGGTCATCTACGGGAGCATCATTGTTCACAGAAATATCTGGAACGTTCGGGGAATTGACAAACTTTGCATGACTAAACATGTTAGCGTTCCTCCTGAAAGGATATATCAAAATAAATATTTGAGCATTTAAAAAAAATCAAAAATTTCTTCTGAATTATTATCTGAAGTAAATGATAACAGTCTTGTTATATGTTCTTATATGTATGTATTTACTTAAATTATCACCATATAAAGTGACATAAAAGAGAATGCAATATCATTAGAAATATCATCAGAAAATTGTGTCGTTTAAACCAATTTGATTCATCTTATAGATCAATCATGATCTTGATCTAAGTAATGTGCATCAGATCTTAGCTAGAATAAACCTGAAGTTAATTGTTAACTTTTCTAATGAATTGAAATACAAATGTATGACAGAGAAGATTGTAAGCATATATGTAAGAACTGAGTAACTTTAACATTTTAAAATTATGCAACTATGTTAAAATGTTTCAGGGATACCTTCTATACATGAAGTAGACGATTCCGACGATGATAACGATGAATATCAGAATGATGACGATAATGACGGCAGCAAACGTCCCAGAACTGACGCCAGCTCCCGCGTCCTGCGTCTGCGCGGCAGGTTTAATTCCTGGCGGTAATTTAGTACCAGAAGGAATACCTAGAAGAATACAAGGGGTGGTTCTAAATTCCTTTCTATTTGTTTCATACAGGTAAGTTTTATCAAATAGCTCAATTTTAACCACTTCATAACATATATGCTAGTTATGTATCTGATTTATATATACATAAAGCAGAGTTAGTTGGTGGAATGACGTACTTGAGGTAGCAGTAGTAGTAGTGGGTTGTGTTGTGGCCACAAGGGTGGTGGGTATTGCTTTACCTATATAGGTATGGAAAAGCAAACTATACTTTGTATTAATTTCAACTGAGGCTAAATAGTACAACTACTGTGAAATCACTATTTTCGTGGGGGTTAAATTGTCGTTGGTCTTAAGGTATGAAGAGATCCAAACATTTATGTCAACCACAAAATGTTTATCTTCACAAATATTACTATTGAAAAATTCTTCAACCACGAAATCAAACCCAACATTAACAAATTTATTTTTCTCAAACTGCCATAATTTGACCCCTCGACAATATGTGATTTTACAGTTATATATTCATGATTATAAGTAATAATTATAAGTAATTTTGATCTATTTCTATTACAGTCAGTATAACATATAGTTGAATATATCTGCAATGCATGTATTTGGTATTTCGATCGTAATCTTTAGACACTCTTGACTATTATTTTCACATTAGTGTCGGTAACATTTTTGAATATATCTGCAATGCATGTATTTGGTATTTATTGTTTTCACATGACTATTGTTTTCACATTAGTGTCGGTAACATTTTTGAAAGAAAAAAAATATATCCCCTTCAAGAACACTGAAAAAGAGACACATTTTCTGTGTAAAACTTCTTTTTTTATAAAAAAAAAATTAATCCAAGTAAAATTTCGATTCCAAATAGGATTCATTTGGTTAAATGAGAGAACCCGTTTTTGAAAGTGAAATTAATTTAATTGAATGGATGAATACAATTGGAAAGTGTCAAGGGAAAAAAATTGAATACGGATGTAGGCTGAAATGTGTACATTTATTTTGAGTTTGTTATCCAAAACCATAGAAATAAATAATGGATTGTTTTAGTCTAATCTAGATAAGTGATTTGTCATAAAATGATTATATTAAAGAGGGCTCATTATACATATTCTAACTTAAGTTTCAGCTATTTCATCATTTTTACAATATTTCATCATTTTTACAGCATTTCAAATCCGTACTTTTCATTCACTACTATTTATACCAGGTAGCTATTTACTACAAAGCGTTAAATTAAATGCCACAGAATGAAGAAAGTGGATATATTTTTTTTAAAGAAACATCTCATTAAAATCTTTTACGAGGAAATGAAGCATATATAATAAATTTTAAGAGAGGAAATCTAAAAATAAGAAATCTAAATTCAATATACGTACAAAGTGTGTTGGGGTCTACGGATTTTTGTTGCATCCAGTTTAAGTGTTCGTTGCAAGTTAATTTTCCGCTTAATGCTTTTTCATATCCAGTATTACACTCGTAGTCACAGGAAGAGTTCACATACCCACTGCACGTGCTTGTAAAGCGACCATGTAATATTGCCATTTTACATATCTGGACTATAAAAATCCGAATTAAACCATAATTAGGTCAGAAGGAGTTAATTATAAGAAAAATTTTCATCTTTTGTTTCTTTTATACAACCATACAACTGAAGCCATGTACAGATCTTATTAGAAAATATTCATTTTTTTCTTTTTTTCTTATGATACTAGAAGCAAATCAATATATGTAGCTCTTGGAAAATGTAGTTTTAAACACTTTGATAGAAATATTAAAATCGAACTTTTGAAATAAGTTTCTTTGATAGCTTTTACAGAAAAAGAGCATTGGTTGCATCGTAAAGTTAGGAATTCTTCAATAATTTAAGGATCATTTTTCTGATTAGATTAAATTGACCAATTCTTACCTCCACTGCATGTTCTCTGATCATCCAATAGAGTTACACCATCTGGACACCCACAGGAACGACGGGAATTAGGCAGTGGGAAACAAAACGTGCTACAAAGCCCGTTATTTACGGAACATTTTGGATGGACTGTATAAAAATTTTATTGTGAAATTAATTAATTCATTTTAAATTTCAGTAGTATATAAAAAATTACTCTCTTTTTCTTAAGGGTACACTTTAAAACATTCAATATAGATACTTATTTTATTCATTACATTCCTGACTGTATCCATTTTTCTGTATATAGATTCTCTAGTCTATAACTTACCTGACTGTATAACAATATACACACTCAATCAATACATTCCTATTATATTGTTTTTCCTTCAAAATTTACATGTAATATTCAATCTATCAGATTGTCAAAAGTTTTGGCTGTAATAATTAATTATCCTCAGTCTGGTAGCTTGATCAGTTATCTTACATGGTTCTGTATTGTCTCTAGCCTATAATATACTGTACTTCAGTTTGTCTGTACACACTGATTGGTCAACAATTACCTGACCGTACATCAGTTTGTCTGTAAACACTGATTGTTTCTAGTCGACCAAACTCAGCTACAGGTGTCATCCATCCTACCATTACCACAGATGACGCTTTGTTTATCTTTATAATTTCTCTAAAATTAAACATAATTATTGGTTCTGTACTACACGTACTTTCAATGTATGATAATCACAGAGTCAAAGTGTGAAAATTAGAATGAGTCATGTTACATTACATTTCACATTAATTTAAACTATACTCAAAACAGTTGTCATAAATTTCATTTAAGTCTCAATAATATACCGGTATCATGGAGTTGAAAGTAGGCCTATTTACTAAAAGCTCCAATGTTTCAAAGACATAAGTTTTTATTTAAAAATACACATAAGATTTATAGATTATAATATTTTTGTTACTTATCCATCATTATTTAGCGTTATCTTTTTTTTTATGAATCATTCATTAAAATTTGTGAGAGACCTACTGTTTATGAGTGGCCGTAGCGTAAACGTAATCTCCACTGATGGCAAGGTGTGCAAATCCAGCTAAAGAGTTCACATGAAGCGTTTTTCTATTGGTGCCATCAACGTTCATAGAATTAATTCTGTCATTGTCAATGTAGTAAACCTTGTTATCTGAAAAGAGAAAAGCAAAGGGATATGGCCATACATATAATAATAATTTATTTTAAGCAAGGTGTCAAATTTTATGAATGACAATCCAGTTTAATAAATGAACTTGCTAAATGTTCAAAATTTGGCTAAATACAATGTAAATTGAACTGGCAAAGAAACTCCCAAATAAAATCCAATCTTGTTTTATAAAAGCCCTAGCTAGGAATAAATCGTAAAATTAAAAATTGTTACTTAATGTTTACTGAATATGAACAAACAGTAACCAAGCTCAGAGGTCCATTGAATTGTTACAAACTAGAAATAGAACCTTCGCAGACCTCTAAAACATCGGAGGTGTTATTCAGGAACACTCGCTGTGTGAGCAGGGAAACGTAAATATCCGTAAATGATTTTAATTTGTGAAAATAAAACCTAAACAATTAGTAAGAAATTCGGCGATTTTATCAGTGATAGAATTTGCTAAATGCCACATGAAAGAGAAATGTTTTATATCCTTCTATCACCATCTTAATTGTCAACATCCTACTCCATTTTTAAAAATCTTTTATATGCATAGCATATGCTTGCTTATTGAATCAACTAGGAGACATGGACTCTATATTTATTTGATAACTGTACTAATGTTAAATGGTGGAGATAACAAACTGTGCTTAACCTCAGAAAGTCTATAACCTGTTCAATTGTATAAATGGGCAAACTCTACTGAAGTAAAATCATCAAAAGAAAATAATCAATATTCATTGATGTTCTTTTGATTTTTAATTCAAGAAATAAAATGATAAATTGTGAACCTGTATAATCTATTGTGATGGAATTTGGTGCTATCATTCCATAAGCTACGAGTAAAAGTGGGTCGGTGCCATCCATATTAGCTCTCCCGACTGATCCTTCCCCGTCTATCCAGAAAACATATCTGTAAAAAGTAACAACTACAATTGTATATGTGAGACATTTGAGATACATTTATTAAAAATATCATAAACTCTTATAATCATGTCAGTGATTTCGAATTACCAATCATTTTCTTTATCTCAAAAATCTTCAGACACTGGATATTTCAAAGTCTTTTGGTGCAATCGACTTAGAGATATCGAGGTTTGAAAATATTTAAATCTTCTGCATCTTCTTGATATATTAACATTATCTTATCTCTATATGTTTTATTTTTTTGAAATTAAATAGGAAGAAGATGAATTACCCTTTGGCAGGATGAAGAGCCAGACTATAGGCTTTATCGATCCTGTTGAGGATGGTTTTATGTCTGTGAGACTTATAATGGACCACACCAATACGTGAATACGCAATCGTCCACGTATAAGGGTAACCCGTGTAGTAAATGTTCCCGGTGGAATGGTCCACGGCAAGGCTGTATACAATGTAATTAGCTGAAAAAAATACGTCTTTATTAAAATACCTAGTATTGACGACAACCCATGTAATAAATGCTAATCTAATTGCCTTATCCCAACAAAAAATACTATAGTAAACTATAGTAAATAAAGTTAACTATAGTTAATTATAGTATCAAAGTAAAAACTTTGGAACTTTGATTTACTATGGGGAAAACTTTGGAACTTTGATTTACTATGATGAAAACTTGGAACTTTGATTTACAATAGTGAAAACTTTAAAACTTTGATTTTCTTAAAAACTTTGAAACTTTTAATAAGTACTTGGTTTTTTATTCCCATTCTTTACATTTTATAATATTTCAAGGTTAAAATTAATAAAAACTAAGTTTTTTTCCCCATTCTTTATATTTTATGATATTTCAAGGTTAAAAAATAAAAACCCAAAAATGATCCTTTCCCTAAGAAAACAAGGTATAAGAAATGAATTTTAATGTAAAGGTTGTCTCGTGCCAAAAAATCTTTAAAATCTATTTAATTTGATGTTATGCAGATGTAAGGTAAGTCTCATTTATGGAGAAAAAATAATATATTAGAAAATAAAATTTATGTTTTTTCAGAATCAGAATATCTGCTTCATCAAATACAGTCAACATTTTTTTTTGTTTAAAAAAATGATTTTGAATTGACGACTTTGCATTTTTGAATTAAGATGTACAGCAAAAACGAACCCCAACCAACTCCATATCCAACCGCTTAAAACGGCTGAATAATAAAAAAAATAAACAAAAATACACAGGATGATGTTAAAATAATAAAAAAAAAACACGTTGAAACTTTGATTTACTCATGTTATTATAGAGAAAACTTTGGAACTTTGATTTACTATATTGAAAACTTTGGAACTTTGATTTAATTACTATGGTTAAAACTTTGGAACTTTGATTAACTATGGTCAAAACTTTAACTTAAGTTTACTATAGTATTTTTTGTTAGGGATGCACTGATCAAAATTTGCAAATTCTCGTTTAACTCTGTTAACACTATGCTAGTTTTTTTTTAAAAATAAAATGCCTAGAATATAGACACTGCCTTAATGTATAACCTCACCCGGTGAGTACACGATTTCCGTGATGTTACTGTTCAGTTTGGTTTTTAGAATTTGATCATCCATATAGTCTGACCAGAACACACTGTTATTGTAGTAAACAGCGGCGAGGGGGTCGGCCGGTTGAGGAATGTCCAGTGCGGACACCGCCTTAAGTGGTGGGTTGTCATTCAGGGATATCTGGTATATCATTCCATGGTTAAAGTCCACAGCAACAGCAAAATTATCAACTAATGCTCCTATAATGAATGATCAAAAACTGAGGTAGCGTTTGAAATATAACGGGTGAAATTGACATTTTATTGATAAGTATTCTATATTCTCTATTTTTTTCTTTTTCTTTTATTGTTTATTATAGTTAATAAATTTTACTGTAGATCACTTAATATTCGCAATTCCTTATTTTCGCGAGATTGTCATTTGTTTTTAATCAGTCTGCTATAATATTCGTTGATTTAGTCATGTTTTCTTTTGCTATATATAGTCTGAACTTATACAAATAAACGCAAGAAAAAAAAATCTCGAACAAATGGTCTCGCGTAATTAAGCAAAATGATGTTGTCAGGAATAAATCATGATTCACAGCATTTCATTAAATTATTTCTCTTTATTGCTGAAACAGTAAAATATGCAGAATATTGTACTAATCGAGCTTTAAAATAATTCTATCTTTAAATTATCCTGACTTGTTTGTTTTGCTGTTAACTGCTGTATGAAGCCGTACTTGTTGTGCAGTTGTGTTTATCCCCCTGAAGCACAAAACCAAATCCACACTCACACACGGCATCGGATCCTGATGGTACACAGATCTGCTCGCATCCTCCATTGCTTACGTCACATTTGTCTATCATTAAGAAAAGTAAACAGTCATTATTATTCAAATGTAAACTATTTTTTTTCTTTTAAAATGCTCGAAGGTGAAAAGGTTGTTTTTGAATTTCAAAAAACATGCATGTTTGCTATCAACAAATATTTTGGTAAGGTTTACAAGTTATTCTTGTTCATCACAAAAAATCATGTGTTGGTCATTACCATGGAATCCGTAAGGTAAGAGAGGGGGACATTTAAACTTTTATTGTTATTATAAATATGTGTTATTACCTTGGAAAAAGATCAAAATGCTTTTCAATGAATCCCAGAATTAAAGTTTTTCAGAGTATCCTATGCAATTAACTATCTTGTTTTTGATGTTCTGTTTACATTCCAATATTCCATTTTCTTTTAAGATATTTTTATATAAACTGTTGATTAAAATTAAACTCATTTGACATATCTTACTTTCTTCTTTTGGTTGCAATGTTGGGTCCATTATAGATATGGCAGTTATTTCCTGGATACCGCGTACAATTGGATAATTTACATCATCTTCGTGGTACAAATTATAAACTCTGAAAGAGTTATTCCCTTTAGTACTGATGGAATAATCCTACAATAGGATAAAGAAAAATTTGATTTGCTTAACTGAAATTCTTTGATTCTGCAGGAAATGAAATGATGCTCATAAAGTTGCATTCCAAGTGGCATCTAAATTACAGTAATCAGAAACTGAATCTAATGATAAGTATTTATTTAATCACCATGCTTCATTAAAATTATGGACTTTTTCTGATAATTTTGCTGTCATATTTATAAACCAGAAACTATTAGGAATTCCTTTAATCTATAGACATAATTCACAAATGTATGAAATCCTTAATTTCTTTCATTTTTTCTTTATGTATTTTGTCTAAGTTATCGCAACTTTTTCAAGTAGAATTAAGACTACTGAATTAACGTAATAATTTGTAGATTCCAAGATATTGCTAGTGAAACATATGAAGATAACGAACAGTATTCATGATAAAAATCCATAAAATAATACAAAACAGGAACAGAGCAAACACGGACCTTCAAAACATCAGAGGCGGGATCAGGTGTATGATATACATGTATATTAAGATGTTTTTCCGTACGATTTCTGATGTTTTGACGTTACTTAAAAACATATCAAAAGTAATGCATGTTTTTATGATATGTTGAATGATGACAATGCGAGCGAATGTGTAAAAAAAAGTTTAGTCGTTAACGGATACACATGGCCTTTCAGGGAGTATCTCCTACTCACTGAAAGTCCCACTGCGTTATTAAGAACACCTTCTATGATGCCAATGCGAGCGAAGTTTCGTTGTGGCCATTCTAGAGAGTATCTCCTACTCACTGAAAGTTTAACTTGCAGTCATTCGAGATCCTTCGATTAAAAATAGTCCTTTGTGACATTCTCACCAAAAGTGATATCCTATTTATATAAATATATATCATTTGATTTATTTTCAATACAGCTTAATTGATATACCTGTTCATTGTATTAGATGTATAATTATGTGTAGCTGCCCTACATATCACCAGCTCATTGTTGTAGGTCTGGGAAATAAATGTTGAAAAAAGCCATTTTCTCTAATTCTTATAACATTGCTAGTAATACACTTGCTATCTCTGTGCTATCATCAAACTCGGTATTTTTATGGATATTTAACAAAAAACAGCAACGATATTAATAAATCATGTTGTATGTTTTATCAGCAGTGACCAATAAAACATTAATTATTCATTCAATTTCAAAATTCAGGTTTGATAGTGTTACTTACATTGTAAATCAGTAGCATTGTGTCTGGTCCCAATAAATGTGCGGTTGGGGTGTGGAATTTATTATTTTCACTCAGATATGTTAATCTCTTATTGCTTATCCAAAATAATCTGTGGATGAAGATAATCATATGTAGATAACTTATTCTCAACTAATTCACCGTTGCTACAAAAAATTATTCATTACTCGCAGTGGAGTAAGGGGATGAAGCTTTTTGTTGCAGAAATGACGCTTATGTCTTTAATAAACGTTTCACATAAATTTTTTTTTATATATTTCTATGTTTGTAAGATTATGTTATTGTGAAAAATTCTTAGTTTTTAACTTCAAATATGTATCCTGCTTTATTTTTTCAAATAAAGATGTCCTTAATTTTTCATATTAAGTCATACGACTAAGACGAAGAATTTGTCGAAAACAAAATCCTCCCACCGTCACAACCAAAAGATTATATGACAATTGACAATCATGGCTTACATATTAAGTTTAACATCGTAGAACAGACCCGAAGGGTTGGAGTAAAGATGAGTCTGTTTCGTTGCTCGTTGTCCTCCAATTAGATTTCCAGATTCAATTTGCAGCATAGAATTGGCGTCAAATGATATCCAATAAAGTTTACTGAAAAAAAAAATAAAAACATGTTGTACACAAAATGTAATTCGCTGCTTACGCAAATGTTTTTTCTTTAAAAAAAACAAAGGAAAAATTGAATTGAAAACTATTAAATGTTACGCCTTCTCTGATTCTAACATTTTGTTCTCATATGATTTTTTTTAAATAACTTGCTTTCTTAGTCAGTCACTATGAGCATACATATAAAAGTAATAAAATATAATAGCAGGGATGTTATATTAGAATCCCACCCTGACGTTTCGGAGGTCCGTGTTTGCTCTGCTCCTATTTTGTATTGTTTCATGGACTTTGATATTAAATACTGTTCGTTATTTCCATATCCTTCAATAAGAAGAATTTCTACCTATTTCCATTTTAAAGCTTAATTTAACAGTGGTTATTTCAATTGATATGCCGATTCTCAGTGAATTTGAAATGAAAGACACCAAAGACTCTCTCACACCAGTTTCATGTTTGGGTGTTTTACTGACTACAACGAAAAGGGCCAATAAACAACTACATTTTATAACAAAGAAGATGCCTTTCCATCGAAAGTCTTTACTTACATAATAAAATACCATTATCATCTGTATATGATATTCATATCTCCAAACTTAATCTCACGAGCATGCTCTGAATTCGATCAATATAGCAATATGGCAGGCTACTGAAAGATACGTTGATGTACAAATTTCAACCTCGTTTAAAATGAACATTCCGTAAATCATACAGTCGCTATAATGAATTTAAAAAAAAAACCTAAGACAAAGTCATATTTTGGTTGAGGTGTTTCATAAAAACGTTTCATCTGATGGGTGGGTGTTATATCTACAAGACCAATGCTTACTGCGGGTGTAGTCGGTTAGCGGGGGATACTTGCTCCCCCTGGGCACCTAGCACCACTTTTTGATTTTTTTCGGATGTTTAATGACTTAATCGCTTGTTTATGTCTTTTGTGGATGCTTGAGATCGAGTCAATGTGTTCTCCGTCTTCACCTGTTTCATTACAGAATTCCTAAGGTGTGTCGACTATCATTTTAAGACTCGCAAAAAGTGAGCAAAACCATAGACACCAATAACATGTTAGTTGTGTCTCTACCAATATAATATTTTGGATTCAATGATTGAAAAAAAATAATGAACTACCGTATAAGTAGAAATTTTAGCGAGGATTTAATTTTGGCATTATTACCGAGGTTGCCGGGATCGCTAAAATTGAATATCGTTAAAAATTAACTGCGTATTATTTGTAATAGCTCTTAAATGTGCATTTTAAAATCGCTAAAATAACATCTCGCTAAAAATAAATTACCAGTTTTTAAGGACAAATCGCTAAATTTGCGTCTCGCTAAAATTTCCGCTTATACGGTATAAACTGTTAATTGCAGAACGTAAATTATTTACTTATTGTGTGGATCAATAGCTAAATCCCGGGGACTGCTAAGTCTTGTAAAGATTGTGTAGTCGGTTTTTGTGTCACTGTTCAGTGACATCACCTTAATCTTTCCCGTATCAGATTCGGACCAAAATATGTCATCGCCAATCCACGAATAGACCAATCCTAAAGGAAAAAAATATTAATTTCAAAGGCAATGAAAGGAGAAAGACATCTGAACTGGGGAGTTTGTCTTGATAAAGCCAGATGATCCATATCCACAACTCTCAAGTGATTTGTAGAAAGTGTCGTTTGCTTGATGTTCAAGATAAAGAAGAGATAAACAACAAACAAACAAGTATATGAACAACTGCTTATAATAATCAAGGCAACAATGTGCATGAATGTCCAGGAGTTAAAAAATTTAAAAATTAAAAAGAAACAGAAGAGAATCACCATAAGATTGTGCAACTGAAACAGAAGACCCAAACAACTTTAAATTTCAATATTTGCAAAATGATATCTATATATAAAACGAAAAAGATAAACATCATTAAGTTCTTTGTGTCTTTTCTTAATTTCTTTCCCAACATCGCCGGTATTTAACGAAATGTTATTTGTGATCACAGACTAATTTAACTGAGCTATTATAAGGAAATGTTATTTGTGATCACTGACTAATTTAACTGAGCTTATATAGGGAAATGTTATTTGTGATCACAGACTAATTTAACTGAGCTATTATAAGAACGTACCAGAAACATTTCCAGTGGAAGCCAAAGACATGTTTTGATTGGTCACTAAATCATACAACACGATTTCGTCTCCAGCGGCAAATATAACTTTGGAGTCATTAGCTGCCACGGCTATGTGTGTTATGGTTTTGTCCCAAGTTAAGAAACAGGAAACATTTGGAGTTAGATACGTGATTATTCGGGCATCCAATGAGCACAGTAAGTTCTGGCTGGAAAATATTATCGCTTTGCCGTGCGCTGAATGGGATGCTGGAATACATAAGAGAAAATGTTACATTTATGGGAAAACATATCATTTAATTATTAACAATTGATAAAAACATTTATTTGTATACTGTAAAATCACATATTTCCGTGGGGTCAGATTTTCGTGGTTTTCGGAAATTCTCTCTGTTTGTGGGGATTTGAATTCGTGGATCAAGAATTAATGAGTACATATGTATGTAACATTTTACACTTCGTGGTGGGCATGAATTCGTGAGTCTCGTCATACCTCGAAAACAACGGAAATTAAACACCTACGAAAATTTGCGATTTCACAGTATTTGGCATAGGATACATTACCATTACAAGATTTGTTGTCTGGATTTAGAGTATATCCTTCTTTACAATGACAGACGGCTCCGCTGGCTGAGTTTGTACAGATGTGCTCACAGCCTTCGTTTTGGCATGGGTCTACGTATAGAACAATATGGTTTTAAAAAGTCCCCCCCCAAAAAAAAACAACCTCATTTGCAGGTAACGCATTCAGCTGCATGTCCTTCACAGTGTCATTACATCAATGAATGATAAATATATTTTTAATAAATTGGTTTAGTAAAAAAATTACTTAAGGATGAAGTTTACTACAAAATATTCCGCTAATAAGAACAAACAAGAGGCCCATGGGCCACATAGCTCACCTGAGAATCTTTTGTCATATTGTTCTTACCAGATTTCCCCCTTGTAATACATATTGTGACCCCACCCTACCCCAAAGATCATAATTTACACAATTTGAAATCTACACTACCAAGGATGCTTCCACATAAGTTTCAGCTTTTCTGGTCCAGTGGTTCTTGAGAAGATTTTCAAAGATTTTTCCTATATATTTCTATGTAAAATTTTGATTCCCCATTGTGGCCCCGCCCTACCCCCGGGGGTCATGATTTGAACAATTTAGATTCTACACTACCCAAGGGTGCTTCCACATAAGTTTCAGCTTTTCTGGTCCAGTGGTTCTTGAGAAGATTTTCAAAGATTTTTCCTTTATATTTCTATGTAAAATGTTGATTCCCCATTGTGGCCCCGCCCTACCCCCGGGGGTCACGATTTGAACAATTTAGATTCTACACTACCCACGGGGTGCTCCCGCATCAGTTTCAGCTTTTCTGGCCCAGTGGGTCTTGAGAAGAAGATTTTGAAAGATTTTTCCTATATATTTCTATGTAAAACTTTGATTCCCCATTGTGGCCCCGCCCAACCCCCGGGGGTCATGATTTGAACAATTTAGAATCTACACTATCCCAGGGTGCTTCCACATAAGTTTCAGCCTTATTGGCGCAGTGGTTCTTGAGAAGAAGATTTTTTAATGACCCCACCCTATTTTTGTCTTTTCTTGATTATCTCCCCTTGTGAGGAGTCGCCCGCGTGGCGCAGTGGTAAGAGCGTCTGCTCTAGAGTCGCGAAGTAAGAAGTCAATCCGTACGTCGCGGGTTCGAATCCCACTGCGGGACGTGGAGGCCGGTCCTTCGGATGAGACTGTATAAACCGAGGCCCCGTGTCGTAGTGGGTGCTGGCACGAAAAAGATCCCACACTGCTCGAAGGCCCTGAGTGCCGAGCATAGGACAAAATTTGTAGCCCTCCACCGGCAAGTGGTGGCGTCTCCATATGAGTGAAAAATTCTCGAGAGGGACGTTAAACAACATACAATCAATCAATCAATCCCCTTGTGAGGGGACTTGGCCCTTCATTTTAACAATTTAAATTTCCCTTCACCCAAGGATGCTTTGTACTAAGTTTGGTCAAAATTGACCCAGTGGTTCTTGAGAAGAAGTCGAAAATGTGAAAAGTTTACAGACGGACGGACAGACAGACAGACAGACAGACAGACAGACGGACAGATAGACAGACGGACAGACAGACGGACGGACGGACGACGGACAAAATGTGATCAGAAAAGCTCACTTGAGCCTTCGGCTCAGGTGAGCTAAATACCCTATGGATCGTTTCACGGTAACTGCGGTGCTCTTTTGCAGGGCAAAATGATATAGTGTAATGAAATATGACGTAAAAGTAATTGTTAAATTTACGTCATTTAATTATCTCTCAACAAAAGCATCACCAAACGTTATTATTTTGCCCTGAAAAAAGTGTAGTACTGCAGTTACCGTGAAGGGGCTAATCGCACATTGTATACCTATAGCTTAATTTAACATATTGCACTTTATAACATTTTCTTCCTGTCCCCTGAAACCTGAGTAAACGTCATTCTTAAGTTAACAGCTGGTCAATTCGTTAGCTTCAAAGATATAGCGTGCAAACCTTAACTTCAGTAGATTATTAACTTAAATGTATAAGTTTCGAGATTATTGTTTCCCAAATAAAGGAAATTATTTTAAAAGTGGAAATATATAGAATGAAAGAAAAGTAAATTTATATATTGCTTTTACAATTCTTCCTGAAATTCAGGGTTAATTAACTCTTCACTGTGAAACCCATAACGGAAGATTTTTAATGTCAGTTGGCCTTAACCATGAATTCATATATATACATCGTTACAGTTATAATCCGATTCTGAGTTGTAATTGGTCGCAATAAAATGTAGTTAAAGCTTCCACCATCATAAAATGTATTTGACCATGAATGTGTTTGTATATACATTCACAGTAATGTGGTGCTTACTTGTAGAGGTGGTCGTTTTGTCTGTGAGTGCCGTCAGCCCCCAGGGAACTTCCCAGGTGAATTCATTTCTCCACGTCTCCTGATTTGTCTCAATCCCAACACAGAAGACCAACTCATCGTCGTACTCAGTGGCACAAATCACATTCTGATAATTGATATAAAAAAGATTAATGATAGAAACGTCGTTTATCTCCTTCACGGATAAATCTGTTCATGGACGAAAATTTGAGATGCTAGAATTTCTAAACTGAATTTTGTCGTCTCCATATGAGTGAAAAATTCTCAAGAGGGACGTTAAACAACATACAAACAATGAATTTCAAAACACATACCCTGTACACTACAATATTCGTGATGAATAAATTGATGTTCCTCGAACGGTAGATAACTTTCCGATTCCCGCCATTGTAATCACTGCTTTCCAGTGTATTCCTATAATTGTCTGCCCAGTATAAAGTCCTTTGGGTGGGATCAGGGTCACATTTCATATCAGGAACCCATAGAAGGTTCCTAACTATTATCTGTCTGTTCTTTCCAGACAAGTCGGAACGTTCTATGAAGGCAGTTGCTTCATTATTTGACCAAAACAGATATCTGAAAACAAAGACATAGTTACTTTAAAAGCATGTTCTTTTAACATTATTCTTGTTTTTGTCGTTTGTGTGTTTGTGCGATAAGCATTCGCACTATCAGAAAAGAGTAAATTAAACACGTCATATTAAAATTATATATAACAGAGTGTATCGACTTTTAGAATACCATGTACACGTTTTTTGTATGTCAAAGGATAATAAAAATTATATCCAAAAAATACATCACATACACTTTTACTTATTACTTAAGTTTGGCAAGAGTAATGAATAACTAACCCATTGTTCGGATCCACTGCAATGGCCCCAGGTGTTGAAAGTTGCTCACTTATAAGAACCTTATACACAGAATTATCATTAGCGTCCACTGGCTGCACAGCTATCCAGTTATATAACGCATCTGTCCAATACATATTCCTCGATACGTGATCAAAAGCTATTCTACTGGATATAGTATAAGATATCCCGCCGTGGACCTCATACACCCATCCAAAGAGGGAATGGTTCATCCATATATTAAAATATTCTAGTTTGAAAATAGCTTTAGATAAACCCTCCATGAAATATAACGTGTTGTTTCCGTCCCACTCCATGCTCATTATTTCAAAGTCGTAAAATCTAAATGCCATTGTGTGTTCTTGGGGTTTTTGGTTTTTGGAGAACTGGTTGATGTAGCCTTCAAATGTGGTCATTCCTCCATTATACCATGAAGAGCTTGGTAAATCTGACACAACTAAACCTGAAAAAATAAACCTGGTAATAATTTACAATTCAGTTAGTAAACAGTATGACAGTAATTGTCCTGGACTGTTTAATGTCCTAAACTGTCTTTTTAATGTAATTTGTAATTGTACTTACCTCGTTATTGGTCATTTGCAAAATATATTTTGTTAAAACAACTGAGTGAACACATAAGTACTCTAAAGCTAATATTACAAAATGATTGAGTTTCTGACTGACAATATTTATGTAGTTTTTGGAGATCAAGTTTTCCAACAATCTGCCAGAATTCTAATTAGGTACCAATAGTGTACCGTTATTAACACGCACATTTTTGTATTCGTATAAAGGGAAACTTATCAAAATCTAAATGAAAAAGAGACGACTTTTGCATTTGCCTTCAATGCAACATTCCCTTTCTAAGGAAGAAATTCTTCAAAAAACATATGTTAGTTTTGAATATTTTTAATACCCCAAAGGATCAAAACAAATTTGAACTACCATACATATATTGGATTCCGATACTTCACAAGAATCCTTACAAAGATACATAGCGGGTTCCAGTAAATGTTCGACATAGCCTCTTTCTTTACTCCTCGCTAAGATATTAACAGTAGTGAAGGAAAAACTTCAAGAGTACTGTGCAACAATATATTCAAGAAGTGGTATGAATCAGTTGTAGATACTTAAAAATTTCAAGCAATTTTGCTCTACGTATGAACTATCTCTTATACGAGGTAAGTTATTGATAAACAAGTTGATGAAACAAGAATTATCTACAGTCTCGTTGAAAGTCATCATTTCGTAAGTTTTGTTTTTGATAAACTGGTAATGACCTTGTCAGCAAATACAATTTATGATTGAGTCAATGATGACTGACGTTTTTCATACTAATTGTCCATTATTTATACACTGAATTGACGAAGGATTTTTCCGTTATTTACCGGTCATGACAAGGAGCACACGGTGGGTGTGACCAGTCGCAGGGGATGCTCATTCCTCCATGGCCATTGATCTCACCTCTGATGTTCTGGAGGTCTGTGTTTGCTCTGCTCCTATTTTGTATTGTTTAATATGGACTTTTGATCTTGAATAATGTTCGTTATCTCTATATGTTTCAGACATATTGATGACGTTTTATAAAAAACAATATTCATTTCTAAACATACGCTGATGTGTGACATGTATATCCCTTTGAACTTGAAATAAAAAAAATATCCAAAAATTCGGATATGCGTATCTGTTTATATTTCATACTTTATTAGAAATAGACATTTGGTCTAAAAATAAAACTTTATGATAAACGTAATAAATTTAAAACTTTTATATTGTCATCTTCTCTTCTTTTTGTAGCAATGTACCCTAATCACAAATATATCGACACTCTGGTTATATGTTAATGTTTATGTTAAAATCGAATGCTGATTGATATTATTAATCCGATATAATGACTTTTTAGCAATATATTCAAGACGATTTCGTTTGTCATAATGATTGTTGGGTCATTATTTGCACACCGAATTTTTTAAGACCTTTTTCATTTACCCGATCATAATAAGGAGCACACAGATATGTGACTGATTAACAGAGGAAGCTTACTTCTCCATGGCACCTGATCGCACCTCTGAGGTCTTTAGAGGCCCGTGTGTGCTTTGCTCCCATTTTGCATTGTTTCAATGAAATTATGAGCTTTATAACCGTTTGTTATCTCCATATAATTTCAAAAAACAGAGTTGTAATCAAAATGAAAAGTGTGAACCATGCGTCTACATGTGGAACGCTTACATTATCCAAAAAGGAAAAATGTTTCTAAAATGTTAGTTTATCTTTCTAAACAAAATCTTATCTTATAAAGGACGTAATTCATTGTATTTGCGACTATGACATTAACAATCATAACTTTATCTGATATCTACGAAAACAGACAAGATTTTCATGATGAATGTACCTAATAATGGGATTTGTCGAATGCCCTTAATTCAAAATAAATCTAAGCTAAAATTTCACGATGCTCTTTGTTCTAAAATAAAGATTATCTTCTTCAAAACTGAATGTTAAAAATATAATGTTTCATATATGCTAGTTGTAATACGTCATTCTGAAGTTTGTCATCTCGCAAGTTGACACAGTACAAAATGAAAAGAATGAAGTATACCGTGTGCTCCTTGTCCTGATCGGAAAATAACGGAAAATTCCGTCCTCAATTCAGTGTATAAATAATAGACTAACAATTAGTATGGAAAACGTCAAGCAGCATTTGACTCAATGATAAATTGTATTTGCTGACAAGGTCATTGTATCGCCCAAAGAACTTACGGAATGATGATTTTAAACGAGTCTGCTGATATTCTTGTTTCATCAACTTGTTTGACAATAATTTACCTAGTTTTAGAAATTGTTCATACGTAGAGCATGCTCTTGCATATTAAATCAACTGAGTTATATAAACGTCATATGCAGATGATGAAGGTATATTGATGCGTAGGTAAGGGAAGTTGACGATAGAAAAGTTAAAGTCATCACGTTTATCATAGAGCTTGGTTGTTAGATTTCCATTAAAGTCTTTTTCAAGTAAAATATCCAAATATGAAACAGATGTGTCAGACTTTGTGGTATGTTTTATCTCAAGCTCACCAAGATATATCGTTTCGACATAGGAATGGAAATAGCTATTGTTAATTGGCAATACGTCTTCGATATATCTAAATGTTGAGTTGAAGGCCACAGCATGTGTTTTCTTTTTTTTCACGCATAAAATTTTGCACAAATTCTGCTTCATATGAATAAGAAAATAGGTTTGGTAATAACTGGGTGCAATTGGTACATGTACCCATCGGAATTCCAATAGGGAAGACCTGGTCTCCAAAAACAATATAGATATTATCAATCAGAAACTCAAGCATCTTTTTGATGTCAACTTCATAGTACTTGTTTGTGCATTCAGAATGTGTTTTAACAAACTAATTTTGCAAATGACCAACGGGGGCATAAAAGTAAAGTACACTCTCAGATAAATGGAGATAAAGAAATCAAACTTAACTTTGGTTGTATATACATGTATCAACATTTTACCTACAGCTGATCATAAAACACTGTTATTGGTTTAAATCCTCTATATGTACAATCTGGTACAAATTGACGAAGTGCAATAAGAAAAGACATCTTAGGAAACCATTGTTAAGATGAAAAACAAAGTACACTACTGGGAGTATATTGCAAGGTAGATGCACATGTATTAAAAGCGTTGTTGGATTTAAAAAGAAAGAAATCCTTACACAAGTCTTTTCTCATGAGTGATATTTGTAAATATAAATTTGTGGAAGCAAATAGATATATGTACGCGTATTACTGTTAGGATTTTGTAACTATGAAGATGAGATCACGTTTTTACAAATTATCTCTTCATTTAAAGGTTAAATTAATTTTAAAAAAAATAACCATTACCAGTGATATTTTTTGGGGATGCGTACACAAATAAATAACATGTAGTATGTACTTATATATTTATCTGTATTTGGAAAGTGAAAAAAATATCCTAAGTTAAAAATCTGCCAGAACAAATTTGATAAGATGGATTCAGCAACAATGAGATATTAAGACCTCAACATATCGGGATATACATGTAAATATATATTTAATGAAATATTTCGCAACTCTATCATTGTGTTCGAGTTCGCTGAGCATCTTCGGTTTAAGTTCATCGGGTCTCTTCTGTGCATTAAGAAATTTGCTGAGGAACACCAAGTTTTTTTTAAAGTTCGGTAAACATATTTTTCACTTATAAGGGTTCGCTAAAAGTGTGTTTCAGGTTTATAAAATCTGTTATTTTTGTACATAGTCCCGCTCTACTTAACAAACAATGTCTTGTTTACCATTAAGTTCTATTCATTAAAAAACGTTTCCCCAATATTGAATATGTATACACACGATCACTTTATTGTTTACTTTTACCTCTATGCTTGACTTATATATTTCAACTTCATATTTGTAATTATTATATATCATTAACTCAAAACATCTCAAATTATCAATATAATTGTTTTAACCTGTCTATATAATGTATAGATAGCAACAAATAGATTTTGGCCATATTTCTGAAATAATGAAATATACGGAGATAACAATTAAAAAAAAATTGGCCTTATTTCTGAAATAATGAAATATATTGAGATAACAATACAAAATTAGAGCAGAGCAAACACGGATCTCCAAGACATCAGAGATGGGATCAGTTGCCATGGAGGAGTGAGTATCTCCTGCCGACTGGTCACACCCGCTATGTGCTCCTTGTCAGCATCCTAAATATTAAATGGCACTTGCGGACATACTTGCGAAATTTTCTAATGTAATAATAGAATGCTTTACGAGTGGGTGTATTATAATTTTATATTTTGTTGTGCTTGCCGCAGTTTTTCACATCAGACAACTCTGGATTTGTTTCTTCTCAATGGAATCTATGGAACTTCGAGATTTAAAATAACTCATTTTTATTTATCTTTGATATTTCGTAATAAAAAAAATTAAAGTTGTTTCAGAAATAATTATCTGCTCAAGCAGAGAATAAGACAAAGATAGTTTTTTATTCTCAAAAATATCCATTTTTGCCTATTCATTTTCTTCTAAACATTATGTATGAAAATTCAAAAAAGAAATAGATCATAACTGTAATAAAATAATTCTTTACAAGTAAATAAAACTAACTAACTGGTGAGAAATAATATTAGTGATTTCGATTTATACCTTTATCATTTACAATACTTTTTTTACAATATAAACTAAAAGAAATTTAATTACATTTATTTAAACAGTTATAAGAAAAGGGGATAGCATAAGTCTGGTATCTCATTGTTTATACCTTCATCTCATTCTGTATCATATCTGCATGAAGATGCTATTTTAGTTGTTTTAAACAATCTCGCTCGTTTAGTAAATGTGTTGACCATTAACCCGATTTTTACAGGGCAAAAAAGTAAAATCTCATTTCTATTCTTAATGTTTAATTCTAAAAGTACATTTATTTAAACAGAAAAAAAAACTTCCTTGACTCCACTTTACTGCGTAGATCAAATATTTTTTTTTCTGGAATGTCGTATTATGCTGTTAGTAATATGTTTCTAAGGATAATAAATCAAACATGTTTTTCTGCGTCAGATATATCAGGGAATATTCTTTATATTCTGTGTCAGATATGGATATCATGGTGTCGTATTTCGATCGTACATGATGCAAACTACATACATTATCTAAAAAGCAGATATAAAATACCTGGTATATAAAACAAGTATTTGAATTGGCTATCAGAGACCTTTTACGGTTAAGAGGAAACAAACTGTGTAATATGCCAATAAAATATGAAGAAAACAAGATAGTCAGTGATTTTTCTCTTTAAATATCTTCACTTTCTCCTTCACCTTCACCTGTTATTTATGTATATTATAAAAATGTGGTATTTTTACAATTTTACAAATTTGAATGATAATAATATTATGATATTAAGTTATATCAGTGGTGTGTAAAGATGACTATCTCAGATGTAGGTTTTGATTGATGTAGGTTTTGATTGAGGCGTCCCGTGTCAAGGTAAGCCTTAAACGAATCTGGTGTTTCTACAAAAGCTGGATTTGAAAACATGCATCCTGAGTGTTGGCAAAACTGTTTTGGAAATATGTCAAGATATTAGAATAGAAAAAATTAAAAAATATGTGAATATAATGTAATAAAATATGAAGATACCAAACAGCAATAAAGCTCAAAAGTCCATAGAACAATGCAATTTGCCAGCAGAGCAAATATGGACCTGTGAAAACATCAGAGGTGTAGTGCCTAGGCGGAGAAAGAATCCCCTTGTCAACCGGTAACATTCGCTGTTTACTTTAGTACTGATCGTGCAAAGGGGAAAATCTGTAGACAATTTATTGTGTAAATAATGGTTTAACGAGATTAAGTGTTTGTTAAAAGTATACAGACGAGACAAATGCATGTAAACATATCACATTTCATTATTTTACTGTTTAAGTATGTCTTCATTTAACCAAAAAAGATAGCAACGACACATGGTCCACTGCTTCATGTCTTTTTGCACAATGCAATAAAATGTAACCGATATCCCATCATTTAATTGTACAGAAATATACCGAACAGATTTAGAACATTCAGCACAGTAGATGTTTTATAGGCTACCAACTATTTTAAAGCAAGCAATACCTACAATTAGGACATTGCGTCTGTGGCTCATGCAGTGTTCGACGGGAAAATCTGTTACTCGTTCAAGTGACTACTTTACAAAATGACTGTCTCAAGTTACAATTTAAATGACGAAATCTGTACCTTTATCAATTACAAAATTGTAAGGAAATGAAGTCAAACATTAGGATAAAAGTCAAACCCAAAACTTGTGAAGATTATGAAATGTAATGTTACAAAGAATGGTTCTGTTGTACAATAGCAAAAGTCCTACGCAGAAGAAGGGAGTTATTCTCTTACTGTTATGTACAAAGTACTGTTTTCAAGTAAGCACACTAACGGCTGGATTGAACCTGACTGTTATAGATAAGCCTAACTTGATAAAGTCTAAACTTTTAAAGTAATATATATATATATATATATACCCGGTACTTTCCTTGCATATTTGATATGTGCTCTAATCTATATTGTCGAGTGCAATAGGTAACTTTTAACACACATTTACATTTCCATTTTTTTTTTTTGTATTGACGTTGATTATTCATCTTCTAAAATACTTAAACATTGTTAGGCCAAGACATATATATACTTATTAGGTTCAAGAAGAACGTGACGTCGGCCATTTTGGAAACATTCTAATACCCAGTTACTAATAAATGCAAAGAAGTTAATTTTATAAATGAGAATGTACTTAAATGTTAGTACTTCAATGAAATTCAATACAGGTATATGTTTATATAATTTAATTCTCGTGATTGGAGTTTATAGGGTAGTATGTATTATGTTTAACAACATCTATCTGGGTTATTACCTTGATTTTTATGCGCAAGAAAGTGTACGATTTTCTAATTTTAGAACTCTATATAAAAAGAATATAATATTTACTCAAGGTGAACAAAAAATGCGTCATTTCATAATGGAATTAAATTATCAACAGATAAAGAATTAAGAGAAAAAAATTCAACTACATGTACTAGTAAATTATGCTGTATATAGATGTAGAGGATAGTGTATAATTCTAATTTACATAAAATTTGGTATGCCAGTTTGTCCCCAAGCATCTCAACTGTAAAATTAATCCCAACAAAGTTCAATAACTGTAACTTAATTTCTTCAGACTTGATCATTGTTAACAATTACATTAGAGACATCTAGCAAAAGCATAGACACTATATTTAGGCTTGTTTTATTCTTTTCTTTTTTTATGTTTCGACAAAAAAAATTAAGCAAGGACAACTATTCTTGGGGTTATCGAACTGTATCAGATTGTGGAATTCTATAATCAATTATTGGGCTGTTAACTGAGGATTTTATATCCGGTATTGCAGGGTCAAACATTGGCTTAATTCTCTAGAATTGGGGTAAACAACATTTTCAGACATTGTACTAGACAACATAAACATTACGTAATATTCGTTAATTTTTTCTGTGATGAGTATAATGGATTTTGGTTAAATAAGTTAATAATACGACCGGAACTGCAAGACTTGGGGGTCTTTTGATTGCGAACAATGCCATTCATAAGTTTCGCACCGGTAATTGTTGCAGATCAATAGTTTATTGAACCCCTTAAAACCCAAAACAAAAATTAATCATCAATCGTACAAAAATATTATTTAACGATTCCTCGTTAATGGAAAATATTAAAGTCAAATTTCCCGTTTTAAGACCAGACTCATGGACTCTGTAAAGTGAAACTGTATCTCAAAGTATATAAGTAATTTAGAAGTCAAAAGGTGTGCATTACCTGTATTCTGCGCCGTGCAGAGCTCAGTCAGCAAGAGAACGACCCCTCCTAGGGTCCCCCAGCGTGTGTCCATCTTCTACAGGTATATAGGTGAATCTGGTCTCCCGAAACATACACAGGTCTATTGATACTGCGCGTAATTGGATCACATAGTCAACGTAAATAGAAAATTTATTGAGGTTGATCTGGGTGAATGAGTTGCAGTGGAGCGTGAATCTCTGGCTGTTGAATGGTACTTGCACATATTCTTAAAATGGAGCTCTATTGTTCTTTTTGTTTATTTTAATTAGCACCTCTTACATAAGAGAACGTTTACGCATTGGTATGTATACATATATACACAAAATGTGCTCGTGGCAGTTATTTAGAAGTCTACATTTGCTTTTATGTTATCTTTTAAAACATCTTTGAATCTTTTTCTTAAAATTCGTTGCACTTACAAAACCTTATTTTAAAACAACATTTATTGTGACAAAAAAATCTTTATCATTGAAATCTTGAAACATTCACTGATTGCTGACGGCTTCTGAAAGGTACTGAAGCACGGGAAAAGGGGCTGGAGTTAAATTTACATACCTTAAACTTTCAAAAAGGTTCTTTTGTAAGGAAAGATGGACGCTGGTGAATGTTTTTAAAAAATTCAGAATAAATTTAAAGGTCAACCACTGCCACTATGCGGTACATAAAATATCGGTCCCTGGTCCCCTGCAATAACTCGGGATATCTCGCCATCATAAGAGATAGTTCCTCTCACAGGTGTGAACTGTAACAAAATGGCTCTCCATCTGCAGCGGAAAGCATAATTTATTACATAACAATCAAATAAACTCTGTTTTTACTTTGGAGTACATATCAAAATTATTTTTTTACATATACACAAGGAAGTAAAAGGTATATTGAGGAAATTTGATATAAGCTTTTTTTTAATTTGTGACCATTACCAAACCAGAATTAAAATGACAGCATGAAACATGTAAAATACCAAATAAACCAAAAGCTTAAACACTTTTGTAAATCAGTTGCAGTTTAAAGTCTGTTGACGCTCTCTTGATTGTAAAGGTAAATTGCTTTCCACTACTCGGACAAAGGGAAGCCGTGACTTGCCAACAACTGGTCTAAATAGGACCCTATCTCAAATACTTCACCTATGTAGTTTACCTGGGCGAAATCATGAATGGAAACAGAATTCAAAGAGAAAGACACAAATTAAATGCCTGAAACTTCGTCTGTGCTGTTCTTAAGAAATTCATATCCTCTGACATACATGCTGAATTTGATGATGATTATCGGGTGAAAACAAAAGCATCTTAAATTGTTACTTTAATTTCTTATGACAATGTCCTGATGTGGTTGAACGATATATTTTTTTTATTTTGACGTGCAAAAGTATTTTGAAAACTATTCTACCGCGCAATGGTTTCTCAAGTCACAATGCTAACAAACATGTGTGATATCTCCTTGACAACTCTATGTTTTTATTTCAGTGTTGTGTTTTCATTTGTCCTCCATCTACAAATTATTTTTCAAGTTGTTGGCTTCATTTTAAACAGGACATATTAATTCCTTTTCGCTCGTGTCAGCGGTACTGCTCAACTTACTAATTGAATTCAATGTTTACCGAGGCTTCCGTAGAAGACTCCTTTGAGTTCTCTTTACTGTGTATTTATTTTCTTGACACAACCGAGTTATATTTTTTGACAGGATGCTAATTACATATATGTAGTTTGTTATACATAGAAAATCAAAAGTGCTGATTTAGCATCAGATTTGCTTTTATTTTGTCTTACGATATTATTTTGCAACAGATGTCTATTAATTGTTGAAAAATATAGAATAGATATAGTACTGATTGAGTTATTGTTTTATTATCTTTTGCACGAAGTGCTTCTTTTCCTTGTTTTTTCGGTTCAAGAGGAATTGGGCCTGAACATATGAGAAATACTTGAAATCCTGTTATTTTGTACCCACAATAATATTTCATATGTGCATAGAGAAATATAGTAAAAGAAAATAGTTTATAAATGCGTTTGATTGAATTGACTTTAGGCCTTTAATATTTCCTTATTTAATGTTTTTAAATAAATATATTCTCGTGCTGTAAAGGCCGTAATAAAGTGAGACGTCTCTTACTGTTAAACTATGACATGAACCAGAACGGTAATGACGTATCGAGAAAGATGCCGCGATACTGGTAAAACTCGTCACCTACCAGCACATCGTGACTGGGAGAGAAGAATACCGTGGTATATCAAAAGTGGTTATTTATCAAACAATACAAAAACACTGTTGTGAAACATTAATTTTTATATTTGATGTACTAAAAAAAATGGTCATTGCCAATTGCCGATTTGCCCGACTACCACCTTTCAATGTTTCTGTGAAGTGAATTCAAAATTGGGTTATGTTTATGTTTAGAATTTTATTCAGCTTAAATAATTAACACCCTAATTCACCCAAATTAGCCTACTTTCTTTCTCATTGTTTCCAGATTCTTTACTCATTGCAGATACAAATTACATTGTAGATACATGTTAATCTGGCCTATGACTTTCGTTATTTTTTTTACATTGTGTTTGCAGTACATGATCTATACACGTTTTGGTTATATATATCTAACAAGATGTTGCTTTGAACAGAATCAGGCTTTTTCATGACCTCTTACAAAAATGAAAAAAAAAAGATTTTTAAAAAATTAAATATATGGAGATAACGAACAGTATTCAAGCTTAAACGTCCATTCAACCAATACAATCAGGAGCAGAGCAAACACGGACCTCCAAAAACATCAGAGATGGGATCAGGTGCCGTGGAGGAGAGAATATCCTATGCCGACCGCTCACAACCGGCGATGATGAAAGAGAATCTTAAAAAGGAAGATACTTTAGAGATGAATTTAATTTTAGAGAATTCGTGAGGACATGAACTACGACGCTTAAGGCCGGAATATTTCATGTGTTAGCGCTTCAAGATAAATACCCGGTATGTGGGTGTGAGGCATTAATTTTGCAGTTCTTGAACCCCGTGAATTCTCAAAAATGAAATTCAATTCTTACATTTATAAACATTTTTTCAGATGATTTTCCAAGTACTTTAGTCACTCAACGATTACTATTGCACAGTAGTTCACAAAAACAGGAACTTTTCTAATTTGCAAAGAAGCTTGAATAAGGAAAAATGTTTGGAAATGTAAATATTACTTCTATATACCACTAATCTCTAACATTTTTATGCATATGAAAATTGCCATATAATATCTACTCGTACTTGCATTTAAAATTCAGTTTTAATTTACTTTTTGACTTGGATTTGATACCTATATGTAGAAGAATTAATTCAAAATTTACTTTCATGGATTTAGATGTAAGACGCTGGTATAAGGCGCAGGCTGGTTATTACTGGCAGATAACAGTGAAACCTCACTTTAAAAATTTTTGGATAAATAATTTGAGACATAAATAGGTACATGTATTTGGTAACAGGTGCAGGATTAATGATTTGTACTATACTTGTTACAATATGATATGCATACAATTTCAAGCGATATGATCCCTAGATTTGTGTACATATCGAGGGAAAAAATTATTAATTTTCACACAAAAGTTTCTTACGTGTATATCATCTTACCCAGTCATGTTGATTCTGCTTATCATGAGATATAGAATTTCACATCACATGCAAAAAAAGGAGAAATCAATTCAATTAAAACGCAATTTAGTGAAGTTTTAGGAGATTACTATATGTAGAAGTAAACGCATCGGTATTGACAGAACATCGCACAAGGAAATGAATTCTTATAGATATATAAAAAATTTAATATAGGTTTATAACAAAAGAAAAGGTTGTTTGATAAATAAAAACTTGATGTCAAGTTTGGTCACTTCAGCTCTCCAATAATAGAAAATATTGTGAAATGTCAATAGATTGCAGAGAAATCTCTGGAGGAAGTTTTTTTTCTCTCATTAACCATACTCTTACACTGTGAAATAATGCAAAAATGCTGTTTACATAACTAACTCGTATTAAGTTATTTTTTTAATTTAAAAAATGGGTTACACTATTCAATTCACGCAACTTGAACCAGATACTTGCATGAGATAACATATAAGATGTTTATATATACATACGTAAACATTGGGTATAAAAAGCCCAGTAAAAATAATTTGAAAAATAAGTCGCATCCTGATTTTTATATGTCTCTATTTCTAAAACGAATTTTTAATGTCATTGAAAATAATGCTTCGCATTTTATTTCTTGAAACTTTAATATATTAAATATCATCTAAAGTGTGACAATAATTTTAGTAATTGTGAGGACATTTCTTAATTACTAAGTGCATGCGTTGTCTACGGATTTTTATGTTATTTCTCGATCATGACAAGGAGCACACGACCGGTTTGACAAGTTGGCATGGGATGCTCACTTCTCCATGGCACTTGATTTCACCCTGATGTTTTTAGAGGCCCGTCTTTGCTCTGCTCCCTATTTATGTTCTTTGAGTGTACCGATTTAAGCCTCTTTCTTTTTTTCTCAGTAAAATATTAACAGCCGTAAAGGAAAAATCCCAGAAGTGGCCTTTATTAATAAATTCGAGAAGTGGTGAAAATCAGATGTGGATACTTAAAAACACAAGGAACTTGAGGACAAAATTTTTACCAAAATCAAAAACATCAAAATGTACATGTACGAAACACGTTATACAACCATTTCTCGCGGAAAAAAATTTGTTGAAGTTCAGGCTTTTTGACAACGTAGAAAGCTGCTTTTATTTCTTGTAATAAAAATGGAACACTCACTGAACATTTGCAAAATGATTTTGTTAAAAATTAATATATTTGTTAACATAAGTACTACAAAGTTGATATCAAAAATACTCAGAGTTTCTGTTTGATGATATCACTGTAGGTTGTGTAGTTTTTGGAGATCAAATCTGTCAAAAATCTATCTGAATTCCCGTAGATAATATTAGCAGACAAAATTTGTGTATTCGTGTTAAGAAAAAAATATTCAAAGATTTCTGCATGAAAACGTCTCTTGCTGTGATCTTCAATTCAATATTTCGATATATCGAGGAGTTTTTATCAGTTAATGATATTTATTTTTATTTCTACGTTCATTCGATATATCCGTAGCTGCAGAACTGTAGCTCTCCGAAAAAATATATTGACAGACCATATATTTTTCGGAGAGCTACAGTTCTGCAGCTAACTTCGGATATATCGAATGAACGTATCGAAAT